AGGGAGGAAGGGGCGAGTGAAGTGAATGCATTCCGTCCATGATTGGCTGCGGAAGCAGGATCTGGTAGCTACAACTTGAACCGGTCATGAAATGACCAGATGGCTAATGAACTGACGATTAAAAAAGCAGGTGAAGGGAAAGGAGAGGTAGATAGGTGGGATGAAAGTGAAAATAACGCAGTAAGTGCAATTGAATGAATGGATGGATGCAAAAAATTAAGCCAATCAACAAAGGGTAATGAAAAAATTGGCCAATTACCGCTTCAATCAGGTGACGAAACAAAATACCTCAAAAAAAGATTTCGCTGGGGGTTACTTACAGAGTGTTGGGCGCATTAGTGGATGTCTTGAACCCGATTACAACCCAACACTCACCCAGTTATGCAGAACAAAGAAACTCACTTTCCATGTCCCATAACACCGCCAATCTTTGCACCATTCGCGCCACCTGCATTTGCCACCGAATTTCGTGTCTGAATGGCATTTGAGGCGTACTTCTGCCGGCGTCGAAGGTACACCATGAGAAGGATTATGATAATCGCACAGAGGAGGATTGCCATGCAGATCCCAATGACAATTCCAATGCTGCTGTAGGAGATGGCTGAAAGAGGAGAATGAGTTGGTTGGGAGATAAGCATATCAACCGCATCACAGATATGGTGGCACAAAATCATACAACGAATAGATGGATTGGATCCAAAGCAACACCAGTAGTACCGCTCCTTCCGTAAAAGGAACTGACGAACATGGCATCAGGAAGGAGGGTATCATAAAATTAAACTCAACTAGAAAAAGCCAAAGTCATTGAAATCCTTAGTGCATTTCAAGAAAAATGTGAAATTCATATGATCTTTAGATGATTTGAAGTGGACCAAATCCATTTCAAAACGATCTGAGCAATTCCAAGGCGAAAAATCTTCATACAGACTTCAACTTAAGCCCAGTTTTTACCTCTACTGATATTAGCTGCAAAATATAGCCACAACCGGTGCTCCAAAGTGAGCAGAACGGTGTCGGAGATATGTTCCAGTCCTATCCTCATCTTGAGAAAGACTCAGCTCTTCAATTATAAGGAATTCAAATTGTGTATGGATGGTCAAAAGGTAATAAAGAAGTAGTAGATTTGTTTTAGTATTATATGAGCTGAGATCATTTCAGTAAAAGAATACCCAAAGAGAATATCTCCAATGATCCTCGTATGGGGCACAGTTAAATGAGACCTAGTTCAGGGTTGAACAAACCTTGAGCCTAAATTGTAGATCCACTAAGAAAGCGTCATAGATAGAAAGAAGAAAAGAGAATCGGCGATAACACGTGAAGACCTGCTTTTTGATCCAGAAATGGTAAAGATATGAACACGATTAGTTCATGAAGTCTAGAGTCCATAAAGATGGGCCTTGAACGAATAAGATCCAAAGCCTAACACTCCTGGAGAGTGGAAAAAAGGGAAGAAGTCCAGATTGTTAAGCTTTGCGCCAAATCAGGCGGTTGCAGGCATGCTGGAGAGCGAAGCTTTCAAGGCATCCATCGAAGTGAAAAGAAGGCATCTAGACATCTATTCAATGGTGAGATTCTAGAGCCTACTGAGAGTAAATAGCCCATTTAAGTACGTTTAGACCAAAGAAAAACTTTTAATCACAAAGTGAGGAGACCAAATCAAATACTAAGCAACCAAAATCTCCCACCGACTAATTTAAAGGCAACAATATAGAAAAAACAAGAGGCAAATGAAAACGGTGGGAGAGGAGGGAGAGAGCTTACCAACAAACTTACGATTGCCTATAAAGAAGAGATCAAAAGGTGATGAATAAGCCTTGACTAGTTGACCTAGTGAACATAGTCGGACTCGCCTAGTGGATAACCAATTCGCATCACAAACACCTCAAGCGTGCAGACCTTGGCAGAGCAGAGAGGCCAAGGCAACGAAGACGTCCGCGTAAGGGAAAGAAAATAGACGACCGACTCATCCACTCAACAATTCGTGCCCAAGATCTGAATGTTAAGTACATGTTTCGCAAATCCTTTACCCCACCTTTCGCTGAACGCTTTCTTCTTGAAAAATAAACCTACTTCTCGATAAATTTCAAAACAGTCAGTGCCTTGAACCGCAACTGACCCAACACACCTCAATTTTATCCGAATGGGGCTAAAGATTATCGTTTAGATGTCGTTGTGAGTGTAGACACAGAATAAGGTGAAATGTCGGTGTACGACACGCTTGTTACAATCTCTAAAAATCAGTAGCAATTCCAGGGCCAAAAAATTAAAGGGCCCTAACTCAAGGCTTATAATGAATCCAATTAATTTCACAGAACAAGAGAGAAATTACCGGCCACGGTGAATCTCGCCATCGCGATAGTTTTGTTAGAGCCCAAAAAGTCCTTTGCGTTGGGCAATGCATTGCCTGCTGTGCATACAAGCAGTAGCTCCACGCCTGGAGTTGCATTATATGCTAGAGTGAACCTGGGTCCTCGTATTGTGTATTCGTCTGGTCGGAGACCGACTCTGGAGGCTGCTGCGATATCCGAGTTGTCAACGAACTGATCAACAGGGGGGACAGGGCTAGTAGTGACAATGAGGTCTTTTGTATCAATTATGGGTTGACGACGAAACTGACGCATGGGTTGACGAAGGGAGAGAACAATTGTGGGTTCGGGAAATCCATCTGCATGACAAGTCATGGAACTGCCGACACGCATCAAACCATCTGTTGGTGGCGGTAGAATGTACGCGACAGTCGTTTGGTCTGGAAGAAAAGACAAATTTCGGTTTGATGAAACTTGAGAACGTTTCTGCAGTGTATAAATAGAAGTCCCTTCATTCTTCGCTGGGCGTAGCCGCCATTGCTTGCAAACATGACCTCAGGGTAGTTCAGAGAGAACAGGGTGATTCACAAAACCCCGACTGTGAATGTCCAGACCCAACGTTGATGGGTGCAGAGCACTAAGGTGGGAACAATGGGACCGAATTTCACGAGCTTCTTGAGCCCACTGCCATTGATCCGATTAGCCTCCCATCCTTCCTCAATACCCCCTCCCTGGAAGTTGAGGGTCAGGGAGGCAGAATAAAGTACAATCAGCAGCACCATTTGCATAATGTGAACCAATTGGCTAGTTCTCCCCTTCGACGAACCGACAATGTGGCGAAAGAATGAATGACCAGCTCAATACATAGTTAGTCACACACAGGGTAACATAAAAGGAAGGAATTCATTTGCATAGGAAATACATCACTCTAGCCAGATAATAAATTGATGGAGCAGAATGACAATGAAAGGAAAAGAGGTGAAAAGAACGCGGAAGTCCGTGTTAATAGGACAATGCTATTTCTCAATCTACTACTGTTGTGCTACGCGGCCCCTACACCAAATGCAAGTGAGTTTTGGTACAATTCTCGACCATCCAGTGTTCTTTCGCCTATGCTTCTTCCATTATCAAGCTCGGATACATAGCAATATCTTCAGGGCCAAATGGAGTTGAACATGTTTGTACTGCTCTTTGCTTACGCGCGCAGATCGTAAACAGAAAGGGGGTAAACAAACTGGTTCGGGAATATCCGCCAGCAGACTCAAACTAATGCCTAAGGCGCATGACCTGCCAGCGCGAATGAGGCTGGACGACCGAGCCAGGTCCAGGTAAGTGGCTGACAAACAGTCAGGCAGGAAATAGAAGGGCTTATAGAGCCTCAACCAGCCGTTCTCAACTCCGAATTCCAAATGCTATCACGTCCACGCTCAACCACAAACGCCTACCGCAGATTGGTGGGTGCGGATCAAGCTTACCAGCGCAAGGACAGCGAAATCAACTGGTCAAAGGTTAATGCAGATTATGCGAACCAAGTTGTGATAATTGCCATTTCATTGCTTTATCTGTTTTCACCTTTCGGCCAATAAAACCGACTAACAAATGAGATTACTATGCCTGGCCGTATCTACCATGTTTATTACCACCGTCACAACGTGTACGGCAGCCTGACCTTCTTATCAGGCCCTGACAAATAATATTGTGCGGTGTTATGCATGAGTTCACCAGATCTGGTAACACTAAACTGAACGTCACCGATAGAATTATTGACGGAGTAGAGGATTTAGTCAATATGATAGAGTGACGGCTAGTGATGTAACAGGACAATAAAAGATTGGGACTGTGTATAGTGATGGCTTTTTCTTTGTTGATATTTGGCAGATGCAGAGCCGTTGTCAGGCAGTGAAGTACTTCGCTCCCTTAAGACGGAAAACTTGTACAATTCGAGCAAAGACCCTAGCTTAGAAGCCAAAGCTACAGCTATTCCACAGAATAAGTTTATTTAAAAAAGTGCAATTCGAGTGGAATGCTTTGAAAACAGACCATTTATTCCAATCGTAAAATAACCGGTTCGTATGAGATTCTGTAATTAATCGAAGCCTAGGTCGGACGAAGATCCAAAGGAAACACTTACGATGGTAAGACGCTTTAAAAATTAACGTTCGAAGCTGGGACTCACAATAGACAGTCAGCTGGACTTGCTCTTCCTTGTTCATCAGCCGACAATAGATACTGCAGCCATGCGCCTTGGAATTGATCGGCAAGGATGCCGAAAGTGTAAGATTGTCCTGACTCCGCGCAATTCTTGCTTCATCCAAAATCCCCTGTGCATATCCGACAGCCATTCTCTCTGCCAATTCCTCATCAGTCGGCGGTGAGCGAAAGTGGTAGTAGCTATAGCTCAGTTCGTAGGGATAGCCAAGTTGCGCTTTCGTCTGACGCTCCTGTTCAACAGCGGCTCGAGGAGGTTTGTTGCAAACGATCCTGAAGCCAATGGCCTGGGGTGGTAACGCACCATCGGTCTTGCATTCCACCTTGGCCATAGAACCGTCAATAAATGTTGGAGGGGAGAGATTTAGTTCCCCAGGAGCAAGATGCACATAGTCGGGCTCGCGTTCCACAGTGATTGAGATGTTTAGAAATGTCGGTTGTTTGGTTAGCTGAAGGGAACGTAAAGAACAGGTTAAACGACCGGTTCAGAAGCATTTACCTAATGAGTAGTATGAATTGACTAACTAAACGGAAGTATTCGTTATGGGTGGAAGGTAAAACAACGTAAGTTCTAGCTCTAATGTTTGCCTTAAAATAAAATTCAGCAGAGAAGTGCTTATCAGCAAGCGCAAACTATTTTAGGGTCGTCAGCCTGATCGTATTAGTGTTAAGAGGACGCTTTCTCAGCACAAAGACACTTTTTTATTGTTGCCACGAAAATGATCACCGTCTTGATCAATCCCAGTCCGATGCATCAAGCATCGACAGTCCAAGACCGTTTTTGCTGCGTGCTAAACGACCACAGAACTGATTTTCTGTACTTTGATTTTTGAATGAAACCGCCACGCTCTCACCACCGCTTCGATGAAAGAGTGACCCATCATCTGACCCAGATACGAACACATGAGAGCTTCAGTTTACCCTTGCCCACCACTCCAACACAATTTCACCCGAATGCTCCTTTAACCTTCAACTCTGAAATCAACCATTCAGACTGTTTAAACCTTTTTTCCTAAACCTTTAAGAGAAAAATGATACCAAAATGTAAGATTTGGGAAGACATGTGATTTTGAATAATAGCGAACGATTAAATCAAGCCCCATTGCATTCAGCATCAAATCTTGAAGCACCACTCGCGTCTTAATCATAACTAACCTACAATGAACAATCCCACCTCTGTGTAACATAAAGCATCGGTCCAAATTCAGGCCTTTCAAATCATTTTAAGTCCAAAACGGAAACAATCAGTGATATTTATCAAAAGCAAATTTTACATGCCAATAGAATCAACTAAAAAACTTTCGACAGGTGCCTTTGTTACCTTACAAACGTGAAATCAACTCTGAGCTGTATTGATGCGTTACCCTTGCAATAAGTTTTTTAGGTCTTTACCGATGAATGCCGTGCAAAAAATTAATGCTCTTTATCCGTCGACCTCTCGGCCGTGCGTGTCCGACTCCTGGAACATCGCAAACCAGGCGACATGCACAACAAGCAGGCATATCAAGCTTCTCAGAAATGTGCTATCGAGGTTATTTCTTTGTTATAAGGAAGGATGGTTTAGCAAGCCAACAGAACGTCCAAATCAGCAGTTTATTCACATACAGCAGACAAAACGCTAAAGATACTGATAGAGATTACTAAGGACAACAGCAAATACGCACCTCGAAAACTATTGCTTTGTTTTACTAAGGCAACACGGCTTCTTAAAGATGGTAGAATGACCCAAGAAGCAAGGGAAAATCTAAATGGCTTACTGGGTAGAGAAATTTGGAAGCCTCCGACACGGATAAAAACCAACTCCACCCTAGTGTGATAGATATTGCCTAAACACATTTACGAGCTGCTCAGAATTCAAATGGTTTGATGGAAAATCCATGAGAATCGAATATTTTGTACACTCAATGAAGCATGTAATAATGAACACTGGGTAAAATTCAACGAATATAATGAAATCAGCAGGTTTGCAATTTTGTCAATGACGTTATCGGTGCGTTCAGTCTGAAAATAAAGGATAGTTTCGACTTAAAATAGTGAACGCGCTTATAGCACACAAAGAAAGACAACCTGACATAGGACTCTGCATTACAAAATGTATTTCTGTAGCTACCACATTTCGACTAAAACGAATGACTCAGAATAAAGGATGAAGATCAGCAGCACCAGCTTATCGATGGCAACCCGAAGTAAGCTGGACAAATAAATACCAATGATACAAATCAGGAATATAAAAACCATCGTACAAGTGCTTTCACAGCGTAAGAACATTCTCGCCACTGACAATTATAAACTAAATCTAAAAAATTCATCTATTAGGAAAACCCATGAGATCACTTAGGACCCATTAAAATTACAAACGTAGATAAAGAACTGTAGAAAAATCCAGAAGCAGGAAAGACTATGTAAACACAAGCAAGATAACGGATTACATAACCAACCTGGACAGTGGTATTCAATAAGTCCTGACCAGATCGTGAGTAGCTGGCGCCGGTGTTAGGATAAAAGGTCAAGAGAATGTGTTTCCCAAAATGTTCTCGCTTTGGAGTGAAATACAGATAAAGGATAGGGCCTTCTCCAACCTCACAGGAAACAAGAGGATTCATCTTCTCTATATAAGAGTGACATTCAGGATTCCAGGATCCAATAGGCATATCGTCTAGAAGGATGCTAAAACCACCAGAGGCATCGTAGGCGTTACCGCCTTTGGGCGATATTCGAAAGCGGATGCGGCTGCCAAGCTCGACAGGAAATGAGGGTTCTTGATCCAAATAGACCTCGCTTATAAAAGCTACCAAAGAAAATGATTGCAATAACTTCGATTACCAGACGTGGCAAAGCAAACAAAGAATATACCACACAACAGTGCATGTGCAACCATCGCATCTAGGGAATGCTAAACGGAGCACGCGGCCCAATTTTACACAACAATTTAACTAATTAAAACAAATTGACAAATAAACTAGTTTTTTACCAAGAAAAGAGAACTACTAAAGTTGCTTATTTTGCTATTATTTTAAAGCTACCTAGTATTAGTAATGGCATCATTTGTGATTTGTAATGAACAATTTGAACAATTTGAATTTCAAGCAGAGGAAAAAGCCACGCTTCACTGGTATTACTTGATTTGCCCCAACTTTTATAAAGTTACACGCACAGCAATTGCATTTTTGAGGTTATAGAATGAATGTAAATACCAAATCTTATTTGTGACTTCGTTTTTAAACGTTAATTATGAGACAGCTCCTGTAGCGTCCCAAGACATCAGATTGGTCGTTCAAATCCATGCTGCTTGATTTAAATCATTGCGCCTTAGAACAAGCCTTAGGATTCTAAAGGATGGGGGTTGTGGGCCCTTTTTATGGCCCATCGGCCAGCCCGCGCTCACAAGTGCAGAACGATCACCAAAGTAATCGCTATTTATCACGTTGTCACATGTACAAAGTTCTGTAAAAGTCTATAAATAGACAAGGTACCTGTTATGACAATTCAATACTGTACCACTAGTGATCGCCACTGCAACGCCCCGAGGTCAACAATTGGATACACGAATTCAGAGTTTCGACTGTCTTGGCTCGATTACCAGCCCACGCAGTCTACCGGAAGTTGAATCCGCAACATAAAGTATTGCATTGCTGTTATTTGAGCCATGTTCTCAATGCTTTTCCTCATATGTCTCTTTTACCAGCCGCCACAACATATTGGTTGCCGCAAGAGAGCACTCACAAAGCAACAGTGTATTACTTTGTTTGCATGGCAATCTGATATCTAGCTGTAACCTTACGATCCGTCTAACTCTTGTATAAGTGGGCCGACCTTCGAGTTGTGCTGAGGCTCAATTCCTCTATACTTCCCAGAATACACGTACCCAGCTCCACTTTGTTTTAAGCTGCCGGGTGCGAACTCTTGGAACGCTGCACTAGTGGCAGTGGAAAGCGGACACGACAATTTATAACGACTTCTATCCTAACATGTACCTGCGGGGCGGGAGAGACGCATTCACACCAGGGGCAGGAAAATCTCTGGACTCTCCGAAACGTAATCTTTGATAATGATGTCTACGCTGGGTCTAACCTTTCCCTCTTGTTCCACGGACAAGACATTAACAGCTAAAGCGACACCGCCGAGAAACACCCGAGAATTTTCCTACCTTGATTTGCTCCACTATTGTGCATATGCGTCGATTGAGACAATACGGTTCTCCTTATGTACAATTCTGTGTCTGATTCCGTTTCCCCTGTAACACGTGTTTTGAACCAGAGCTCTACCACTTAGTACTGGATACAATCGAGGATCAACAGATGTATGGTGTCCCGAATCTGGGTATCAGACTGAACGTAACTTAGGCCCAAGTGGAGCTGCTGAGGAGACCAAGTACAGCCCCCCAGTCCCTTGTGATGGCTGACGCGACAGGTGCGCAAGGGAGCGCCGTGGACGCCGCTCAAGAGAGGGGAGGATCAGTGTAAAACCGTTTATCTGACCAGTGGATGTCAGGCGGTTGCCCCAAGATTCATCTGGTCCTTGTTCGCGTGGATTGACCTTTCGACCAAGATCAGGCCTAATCCCTTTGTTCGCCCTAGAATCCATGCATTCGACTCCACTTTGTCTTCCACACGGTGAGAAGTCTCGTGAGCCTACAACCCGCACCATGCATCAGCTACTACGAATCTGCGATGATGTACTTGCCCCTCTCGACAGTTTCATTTACATTCTATCTGAAAGCGGAAATCGGAGAACGGAGTTTCCATAGACCTTCAATTACATTCGTCCGAACATTGGTAGTGGGAGATCGACACAGTCCCGTGGGAAGGTAGACCACAATACTTTCCTATCCTATACGAAGCCTTCCCAGGTGATGCGCAGTAGCGCAGCTTGCAAAAAACAGAAGTAAACGTCACAAGCGGACAGTTCCCACCTCTACTGTTGTGAAGAGGTGAGCGATTCTGCATGCCAAAGCAGTCGCTGTCATTTGCACCTCAGTTTCACCAAAGGTGATTTCTGTCACAACCAGCATCTAGATCTGAAATTATTTTGACTTGAGGACAGAAATTAAACACTTAGAGTCCGAAACCCTCTTAGACTAAACATTACCAGACGGATCACAGCGGAAGTCTCTTCGGTTGTTGATGCCATGCTTGTACAATATGAGAACAGGGTTAATACCCAAGGTATATCTGTTGTGGAAGGATAAGATTCTCCCACCTGGATCATATGCACCTCATCATTACAATTTCCCACGACAAGTGCAAGCCACGGAAGTGATTCTGAAGAAAAGATATTCCTTTATTACAACTAAACCAGCACCTCGAGACCTCATATCAAATATCTGAAGGCACAAAGTTTACCTAAATGCATATACACACGCCGAATAAAGCACGAGCCTTGGGCACACACCAGAACCCAGTTCGGCCAGAAGAAACAACACGACAGCCCAGATGACATTCAAAAGAATAATACATTGCACGATAAGAGAAACTCCACACGGGATAACAACGCAGTCGATTTTACCGAACCTGATTCTGTACAGTCCCCAAAATCCAACCCCATCACATATGCAAAATCCAACAATCATCAAGAGAAATAATTTGCAAACTCCCAATCAAAAACCTAACCATGGTGCGACAGTCGAAGTTAGACACCACCACCCTGGGGCAGGAACGACTCGCTGGGCAGAACTGACAGTGGCCCGAAAGGCGACTACAGCCAGCCTTTTAAAGTCGCATCTTCCCGCGTTAGAGCTGGGAAGAAACCCAAGCGAAAGCACTAATCGCCGCTGTAACAAACTGTGCACAGCAAAGGCCCATAAAAAGCACCCACTCCGAACCTCGACCGCATCCCAAGTCAAACTACGCAAACAGATGTGTGAGATGCTAAAGAATAATTAGCGTCCCAAGTCGCAATGAAAGCCACAATCTCCACATGATAAAAGCCGACTTATCGCACTACCATGCTAACGAGAGGGAATGCACAACACCTCGAAACACTCACGCGAAACCTGTGACATCTACAGGAGCCAATTTGGACCCCTCTGGCCATACTGACAGAAGGGCTAAAACATAGGGAACAACAAAGAAACACGAAGTGAAAAGACGGATAACTTTGATACGACAGCAAGAAGTCACTAAGCCCTAGGACGTAGCCTCAGTGAGGCGTACTCCAATAAGGTGAAAGCCAACTCACCCCATAGATGAAAAGACGACATCTTGAACCACTGCAGTTACGAGTGTTACAAGTGCTCAGCAAAACCATGCGGAACGACCATCACGAACGTGGAAAAACCACCTCGGAAGAACGAATGACCAGGAAGTACCTCTCCATTCGCATACGCATCAGGGAAACCACATTTAAAAGCAAGAAACCCATTTCCACTGAACCTCGATTTATTCATCAAAGCTAGGACGTATTTGGTGAGAAGTTGGCTGTACAGCAAGACAATGCCTCCTCTAGCGACTTTTTATCCTGAATTTGCAGCCTAAAGCATGACGTGAATATAAAAAGGACCGAGAGAAACCTACCAGAAGTGAGTTTGGCCTTGCCGCCCGTGGGAGTGCAGAGGATTCTGTCACAGCCAGGACAAACCACAGGAGTTTGAGCGTGACTGAAGACCACCTGAATCTTCATACAGTCCGCACATTTTACATCCATGAAATAGGAATTTGGTGACGGGACCAAACGCTTCAACTTGCACTTTCTCTTCTCTTCTGCGAGCGTTGGATGGAGTAAATCACGCGCGAGCTAAGAAAACATGAGGAGAACCACATTATACCCATGTTAACCACAGCTCCTACGACAACCACGACAACCACATGAAACTTACCATGTTTCGAAAACCAACGGAAGTTAAAAAGTGGTTGCAACAAACAAACTATGTAATTATAAAAATTCCTGAAAATCATACTAACGAAAGCCAAAAGGGGTATCAACGATGTTTAAAAATATTTCTTTCAACTTTACAATAGTAAAATTAGTTTTATGATATGCTAGTGCATCTTGAAAAAGGCTCTGCAATACCGAAAATATTTTAATTATTATGGAGCTGATGTATATATAGGTGGTGCATTACCTTTACCATGCATTCATCATCCTCAAATATTTACTTTTTTAAAGATAGATGCTTGGTGGAAGATTTGTAAGACACAATTATAGGCAACAACTTGATGGATCTGTGCAAAAGTCAAATTTTGGGAATTATTTCTCGGAGGTTCACTCGAACAAATACATTAAGCTTTTTTTAATGCTTTCTTTAAGCAAAGAAATTGAGTGTGAAGTCTTTTTTTGTGAATATTTGTCTAGCCCTTGTGCTCGTGGACTTGCCTCACTTACTGTTTTTCTCCACCCTACGGGAAGTCTTGGAACTCTACAAAGTTCAATAGTAATTCTGTTTCGAAACTAAAACTAATTTCAGGCAAGCCTTATATGTTTAATCTGCACATACAGGAGAGAAGCCAATGGTTATTTAAACACTTCACCGTTTGGTGTTAGAGGTCAGTAAGTGAAGCTGGATATATGTATTGCAAAGAGAACAAGGCGATAAGATTTGAGTGTGGTCTGAAGGCCAAGCCATGAATACAAGTTGCAGACAAATCATAAAGTGACTTACAAACGTCGGGTGATTACATAAGCCATCATTACAATCGGGGGCATAAGTAAGTTAAAGTGCTGATTGCGACGCTTTGTTTATGTGATTTGTCTGGCCCTTGTACACGTGGTCTGGCCTTTGGGCCATGCCCAGACCCATTTGTCCTGTCGTCTTCAAAATACATGTATCCAGCTGCACTTACTGACTTCTTATACCAGCCAGGTAACAAAGGAAAGCGAACTCGACATTTTTTAACGACTTTTAGACGAGGTGGGGTCTCTCTCTGCGGCTTATACTTCTTTGGTCGTTTGTTAAAAACGACATAGTACCCGGAAAAATCAATTGCTCAGAAGACACCGTTATCGTTCTGACGTCCTACGTTTGTGCTGCTAAACTTTGCCAATTAATCGACTGATTTTCGGAAAAGAACGGCACGGGAACAACAGAATAATTCGATTGGATGATAAAATGCTTCAATACCTACAAATCGCACAGGGTCTAGAGATTCTTGAGTATCTGTGAGCCCAATAATCTATTAGACTCCAACCTCGGGGTCCATTGGCCGGAAACTCAAAACCTCTCTTTTTACGACAAGGAGATTACAATTAAACCAGCAGACAAGACTGCAAAGGAATTCCACATCTTGTTGGTGAAATCGAGAATTATTAAGCGAATTTTGGCGTTGTCCACCGGCAATCATGAGCTATACACGCGTAAAAGGAAGTCTGACTCTATCGAAGTGCAGTAGATGATGATACAGGCATAAAGAGGACGTGAATTAAAGGAGGCGTATTTACCTTGGTGGTGGGCGCATCCTCAAATCCTTCACAACATAGGGATCTAGACAGACGTCTGCATTTGGTTTCACCTTATTCCTGTGTTTCACAGACAATATATGAACAACTGACGTGGCACCGCCATGAACCATCCGGATAAGTTTCGTGTCGGAATTTCCCATACGAAACCCGTGTTTGGATGTCGGAATTGACACTACGGTTCTCCTTGCATACAAAACAGTGGCTCGTCCCGTAATCCCTATAACATATGTTTTAGACCAGAATTACACTGTCTAATCCTGGAAGTAATTGATGGTCAATAGGTGTATGAGGCCCCGAATTTGGTCATCAGACCGAACATAGCTCCAGATCCAGTTGAAGCTGTCGAGGAGACCAGGTACGGTACCTCGGTCTCGTGTTGTCTGTCGAATGAACCAATTTTATCGTAAATGCTTTCTTTAGTACAGAATATATTGTGATGGCTGGCGCGGGAGGTGTAGCCTCCCGAGGCTTCCCATAGGGTGGAAAAAAGGCATATGTGAGGGTGAATACATGTATTCGGAAGATAACAGGGCAAATGAGGCCTAGGCATGGTTCGAAGACCAGCCCACATGTTCAGAGGTCAGACAAATTCTATAGTTACCGCCAAACGTAAGGTAGTCATGTGAACCAAGCCTTACAACATATGCCTTTTTCTACTCTATGGGAAGCCTCAGGACGCTACACTTATTGTCGCGAAGATGTTCAAACAACTCTTAAAGAGCGTTCGATTTGACCAATGTCATCTCTTTTGTAAGAGCAAATTAAACACGTACATATTAAGACCTGAATTCGCATTTTATAGTTGGGCAGGATTAAGAGGTTGAACTAGGTTTCTATTACTTTCTAACAGGATAACTTGAGTCATTTGCAGTGTGGAATCTGTCTGCTTACCCACAGGCTCATGAAAATGGAACTCTAGGAGAGGGTTAGTTGAGAAGACTTTTATAGTGGTCAGGAATCGATGAGATTTAAAGCTGTTGTAACCTTGAGGACGTATCTTCATGCTTACAGCAAACTCAGTTCGTGTTTGAATAGTTTCCCATCTCTCCCTTATTAAGGAAAATATAAGCATAATAGTATCCATAATACACAGCGCTTACCACAAATCTGGGTTTCAAATGGAAAAGTGACAATTTTCCTGTTTGGCATTGATTTCCATTCGTAATTTTTAACAGCACTTCCATCGGGTAGTGACCCTGAAAATTCTGGTTCTGGATTTTATCTGTTATGGTAAGAAATCGCTATGTAGTTTGCGTGGTGGTGCGGGTTTGTTTTCTGCCGAAGTTGGTTTTTTTCGAACGCTGAATGGTGTCTGTTGCGGATTGACTGTTACATCTCATGCCGATACTATAATCTCAATGGAATTCCGTTTTTTACTTAGTATTCGGGATGCTAACATGATGAACTGCGACTCCCGAAAGAAGACGAGCGGGTTTTATGAATTTATTCCAGAAGATGGAACAATAGTGGATTTAACACAACCAGGACTCTTCTCCCGTCGGCAGCTTATTGCGGTTTTCCGACGAAGAGGTTTTGACCGCTTGGTGAGCCCAGCCTTTTTCAGCTATCGAATAATAATCTCCTCTATTAAGAATTTTTGCGTGAGGAGCTTATACGATAGAGTATATAAGCTACTGCAATGTCCTATTTCAGGTGAATTGATTTTGCCTCTCTAATCTCATACACACACAACTAGTGGGAGCTTAGAATCGTTGTTCTTTGACAACACCTATCTCTCCGCCTACACACTGCTAATAACAACTTCATTCTCCTATACTGCATTGCACATATTCATAGCGTAAGCCTTGATTCCTCAAGATGTATTGTGATTATTTCTTTTCCAATTACTAGTTATCTGCAATCCATTCTGACACCAACTCACTCATCAAGGCCTATTATGATCACATTATACCTTTGCCCTGTCGAAGTCGTACCAAAGCCTCAACCTCCTCACTGGCCAATCAAAAGGCAGACCAAACGCAACAATCATCTTTACTAACTAGCCGTAAATTGGAAGTTGAACATCAAGTTGCTTCGGTGGCCATGCAAAGACTAGAACGAGAATCAGACTCCCAATCTGCCGCTTATAACAGGGGTGAACGTCAGCAGACTGACCTCGACAAATTGGTCATCATTAGTAATCCCAACTGGCCTACTAGTGGTGTAACACCGGGTTCACAAAAGTCAACCACTATCCAGAAGGTGGAATCAAAGAGTGGTCAACACGGGAAAAGGTCCATCACTTCGCTCTCGTCTGTCTCATCTCCTTCCCCCCTGAAAAGACCCAAAATCAATCGGAATTTCACTAATCTTGAGCCCCTTAGCTGTAATGGGAAACAGTCAACCTGACGCTGCATTTTTGACAACTTTCGAAGCATTTTACTCACTACGAGTTTTCTCGGTTGTCAGGTCAATGTTCTCCTGATTTAAAGGGTGCCTTTATCTGTGGAGAACTGAATTACTGCAGAGCGCCAACCTATTAGTGTCGGGAATATCAAGACTAGGTCGTGCTGATTGTCGATTTGCGGAAGGCTTGAACTGGGCTAGGGCGTCTACATATGAGAATGAGAACGAATCCCGACCTTTATGCATTAGTTCGCGACATTGCAGTGCGCTCTAATCACCCATTGCTATGTTCGGCGTATTGTATCATCTCAGAGTTTTAAGGCTACACGAGCGTAATGTATGCACCATTTGCGAGATGGAGTCCGGTCTTGTAAGCATACTTCCCCACCTCTTCAACTTATTTCTGAGACTTCTAGAGACGTATACTGATGGAGATGACCGTTGATCATTTAAGCATAGACACCCCTTAGTAGGAACAGACCAACTGAATTTGGTCCAAATGGAGAATAGGAATGGACAAATGGCCATTCTCGATCATACACAGCGTGATCGCGTAGCAGTCAGTAGTCCTGAAAACGTCGGTCATCCAAGATAGTTGTGACTTAATCTCGTCTAGCTCCACCAGAACGACATCGGAGGTACGAGGATACGCCAACGCGCAGTTCAAAGAATTCTGATTGTGTAACTTACGACTCACTTGCACGAGTTTTGTTCTTTCAAATGATGTTATCCACTTAGAGAATTGGAGGAACAGGATAACACTACTAGCATAGGGGAGTTCTAGTGACGCTTAGGAGTAACAAGGCGCCAAAATCCCATTTATTTCATAAATCAAGCGGCTTGAACGGCGCTTGTGGGTATGCTGAACAGTCGTTGTTCTACGTCCTCATAGTCAGGATCAAAAACATGAAGTCGCACGTAACCGTCTTCACCTCCGGTGGCGAACCTAAAGAAAATACAAGTTCAAGGCGAGTCTGCGCGTTGAGGAAAAACATCATTCCCACAGGGGGTGAGGGCAATCGTACGTATACGCACCCACTGCCATCAGGATTGAAGGCGACGCTGTTGATAGGACCAAAGTGACCTTTGACCCGACCAAATTCTTCTGCGTAAATCATATGATAGAAGCGGGCGTCAAATTTACCCGTCTGAGCAGCTGTAACAGTAACATCTCGAGCCTCTTGACCACCTCCCAACAGAACCTGTGTTTATAAAGAGGACAGCGCGTTACCTACCTTGGATTTCGACTTCAGGCATGCTTCCGACAAGCCTAGAAGATGCACAGACCTCTGAGAGGATTAGGGGAGGATTAAAGGCTAGTTAACTATGGTCCGTCCTCTTAAAACCAATGCATTTTTGTGTGCGTGTGTTGTCTTAAGTTTGATTTAGGATATTCAGAGCTCAAACCATTTGTACAACAATAAACTACCCACACAAATATCCAACTTGAGCAAAATGGATCGAAGCAGGTGTTAGAGATTTAAAAACGATTTCGGGTCAAAGTATAAGTCCGGGAACTCTATGAAGGACACTTGTCTCACCTGCCTTTCACTTACAAAATTGCTAAACTAGAAAAACAAGGGTTCAAAAGCCAGTACAGGAGAACTTGAAAAGTCACAGATTTGTGAGATGATCTTATTGGATTCTAATCAGGGTAACCGTATCATAACTTGTTAAAAAGTGCGGGCAGTCCAACGAACTAATATAAACTCTTAGACAAATAAAAAGAGCTGAATATATGAGAGAACATGTCTAAATATCCTTTTCAAAACTGCTATGAGCTAAACATTGTGAAGGGAGAACCAACATGAGGTCGATTGGGAGAAATGGACGCCGAATTCACGGGACGCTCAGCTGTGTAGGTGCGAATGCAATCCACCTCGTAGACGCCGTGAAGCTGGTGAGACCACAAAAACATGAAATTTTGATTTCGCAAAGAAGTAACCCATCTACGAAAACTGCCATACCTTAGCTGTATGATCCTTGGAGGCACTAATAAACATGGTTCCATCCACATGAGCTTGTAGATCTGTTATCAAACCGGTATGCGCTTTAACCGACTTCACAGAAGCCTTTTGTCGCATGTCGATCAAGTTAAGTTCGCCGTCATCCGAACCCGTGATAACAAAGTCCTCCAAATCACCCCAAATAGCCGCCTTCACAGGACTTTTGAGACTACTTCCAGTGATTGAAAGGACACAACTGCTACCCGTCATCTGCATTTTAATGTATAAAAAGACAACTGACTTACGTGACTTTGATCACGAGTGTCCAGCACACAAACTTCAGCTGGATTCTGCTTAAAAACATCACCAATGAAAAAGAACAAATTCCCCGAGTATGAAAATCCACAAACTCTGATGGATGACGGCCTGGAAATGCGATTTAGCTCCTTGCCTAAGCAGTAAGTAGAATAGAGGCAACGTACCATTGGAGACATCCCACAGCCTCACGGTAGTATCACCGGATCCTGATACCAGACGTGTTGATGTCCAATCAACGTCCAGACACCAAACCACGCCGGCATGGCCATTAAATGTGCCCAGACGCTCCCCATTTCGACTATACCATACGTTGGGAGATGGATTTTTTCCAGCGGTAAAGATTAGATCACCTTCTCTGTTGTAAACGATGCGAGTTATAGCACGCTCATGACCACGTAAACAAATGGGCCTCTAGCGAAAAGTAGACCGAAGTGTAGAGGGCTAGGCTTACCATCCTCAACCGTCCAAAACGGGCTCCAGCAAGTAAATTAGTAAAACAAAAAATGTTTAATTTAGAGCAATTTATTTGAAAAATTTAACAAATTTAATTTTTTTATTAATTTTTTAACCTTTTTTAATTTGATGTCAAATTTATTGCTTCCTAATGCTGATTGGAGAGTTCGTTTGGGCAGAAGATGCGTGAGTAGGCTGGGATGCTGGACGGTTTCGTGATGCTGCTAAAACTGAGATGCCTCGCCTGCGTTGGAATATTTCTTTCGGAGTGTCTGTATGCGACAGACATTCGAACAGTGTATGTGAAGACGATGGACGGTACGCTGCGTGGATTCGCCTCCACAGTTTTGCAAAAACCTATCATCACATTTTTGGGCGTACCATTTGCCACACCCCCGGTGGCAGACTTAAGATTTAAGCCTCCAATTCCTCCAAAACCTTGGAAAGGCATCAGAGAGGCAACGAAACCGGCTCCGACGTGCATTCAACCTCTTCCAGAAAAATGTAAGCTCAAACGGCTGAAAGCGTGCGTCATACTGTGACAGGAGGATTTAATACTCCTTTACAATGGTGTAAATATAGGCCAATCAAGACTTAAAAATTTGAAGCGATGCTCACCTTAACTAGGCTCCCATGTGTGGGCTGTAGTTGCTCAGTTTATTAAGCGGGTGGAAGTAGTCGTCATATCAATTTTAGTCGTCATTTGAGGGAACTGTTGGTTGATGAGACTATAGACCTTAACTTACCCTCATGTTAGAGCTCTTCGCTTAAAAAAATGTTACTCGCTCTCATTAGTTAATTATTGTTTATTTAACACTAAATAAATTGTCTATTTGCATCTAGGAGAATTTTATATGCATCCCTTAATGTGCTGCAATTCTGCAAGCACTTTTAAAAAACCTTCAGAAGGCTATTGGGATGCGTCGCATTGTAACAATCCCGATATCCACTAATGTCGTGTGTCTATGTCCTTTTCCTCTGCTGGTTTATGGGTTCCGCAAATATATCTAGAGCTACGATATCGTAAATGAAGTCATGAATGCTGAGACATAAACCTTTTGAAAAAATCGAGCAAAACGGTTGTTAGTACGCTTGCGAGTTTGAGTTTTCTTGCCAAATTCTTTCGTCTCAATTGACCAATAGCAATTTAATATCGCTGCGCGCACGTGTGTGCTTTATCTGAACGGGGGCAAGCGCGCGCGCACGCATGAGGCTATCGACTCAACTCCTGACGTACGATCTCTCTTCCTATGACTCAAGCTATGCCGGAGTCATTTAAACAAATTTTAGAAATTAAATCAATTAAACGTGGATCATTTAAACTTTGTGTGTACTCAAATAAGGGCAACAGCATACATTGGGGGGTTGTGCTTTAATTGTACATGTGGGGAAACATAAGTTCTTTTATCAATTATCTTTAGTCGGGTATCCATCTTCTGCTGCACGTTTAAGCTGTTATTCCTCGCATAACCTCTATTATGGGAGGTAGTTTCATGTAGTTTCATGTAACGGTGGAAGATGGATCTCGCATAATAAAATTTAGTTTATTTGTGTGGCCGTCGCTAGGTTCTTCTAGTATCATTTGTTCTTTGTGGCTCAAGCACATCGCTCTTATTGCAATCCACGATCCCTCTTGGGAGACAAGATGTGTGCTGGAAAATGAGTTGCTTCCTATTGCTTCATTTCATGTCATAAGTTTCTTCTAATGTGTCTGAGAAAAATTTCGGGAAAATGTTGGTGCTTCTCTTCCTGTTGCTGCGATTTCCGTCGACGCTTTTCCGACCTTTACATTCGCGGTCTTATTTTCAGGGCATTGACTGCTCAGTCTTAGGAGGCTTCGTTATAGTTACACGATCGCATGGTGCTTGAGCGGAATGCACTTGTTCAGGTGCTTTTGGTAGGTCCCAAATGCCATCGCACCCATCCGGAGTAAAATGGCTTCTTCGACTCTTGTCCCCGGAATTGGCGATCAAACGAGAAATGCATTGCACCCTGTCATACCCAATAAAGCTGAAAAGACTAACGAAGTTGGACAATTGGTCCAATTAGGCCTTCCTCCCTTTACTCTCTCCCTTCAACTTACATAAATAAAAACACACCAGGTGATCAAATCATGCTTGTGAGTTTCAATGAAAGGTCAAATTTATGTGACTTTTTGCTCATATATGACTTTATTTTTGGTGGAAAGATTTCAATGCAGTGCCACTTTAGAACCCATGCGGACGGATCAGTTGATGTGGACAAAAAAAGCTACCCCTCAAAGCCACACGTTACTTCTGCCTCAAAGGACGATGCTTAAGGCCATTTCTAGATTCGCCTGTAGGAATGGGAGGAAGGAACTGCCCTACCACCCACACCGTAATTTCATCACACGACTAACTCCTGGCAATTGAATTAGGTTTATAGGTGACTGGAAGAGAGAAGCAGGACTGCAAATCATCAAGCAGAGTTTTACCACCTGTCTAGCTGGTAAATTGAGCACTGAAAAGACTATTGAGAAATTCCTCATAAAGCTAGCGGCAGCAGTAGTAGTAGTTTAAATATTCCAAGACATCGAGGTCAATGGAGAGAATGGGAGTAGAGTTTCTTGTCCCTTTTCCTTCTTCCTTTCCCTTGGGTCAGGTCCTTCACCTTCCACCTATTTTAAATCATGGTTTTAGGGCAAAAGACCGATCCAATGACTCGAGTTTGGCTAAACACAACAGAGATGAGTGAAGATTGCCTCTACTTGAATATCTGGACAAATGCAATCAATGTGAGCAGCAGCAGCAGCAGCAGTGGTGGTGGTGGTGGTGAAGATATTGGCGGTCTGATGCCGTCTGACGATGTCCTGGACTCGTCATTTAATTGGTCACGTCGTCGGAGCATCCAGCCAACACCCAACTTCCAGCAACTCAACGGACGTCCAGTGATGGTTTGGATTCATGGGGGAAATTTTGTATCGGGATCGGCGAATTTGGAAATGTACAACGGTGCCATTTTAGCCAGTGAGGCGAGTGCAAATATTAGCGGATTTATGAGGGGATGGTGGGTGATAGTTAAAGTCTCTCTTCACACTAAATCAGTCGCGAACACGGAACAGCCTGCGAGTTGGACCATAAAATAAACCATGTTCAGTGACAGTCAGATGACTTAAACATGCTTTAGATTAAACATAACTTTCATTAACTATCGAATTACCGTCACTGCGGTTGAATGACCTAAGCATGACATTCTTCCCTTTAGATGGGAGTGATCGTGGTGAGTATTCAATACCGCTTGGGTTCTCTTGGGTTTCTTGCTCTTGGAACATCTGGAGCACCCGGAAATCAAGGATTGTTGGATCAAGTGGAAGCGCTTAAATGGATTCGTCGGAACATCATTTACTTTGGTGGCAACCCCAAGCAGTATGTCCCACTTATCCTATGCCATCCAATAGGGTTTTCAGCATAGACTTTTCACAGGGCTTGGATTTGATTCTTTATTTATCTTATAAACCGAAATCACTGACAGAAATGTTTTTGAATTTACAAAATATCTTTAAAATTGAATAATGGAATTTAGATGGATGGTGGTCAACCGCACATCTATAAATCGAAATGTGATATGCCATTTTGTCGACTTCCCTTCCTACAGAATAACACTTTTCGGTCAGGGTGCCGGTGCTCTCAGCGCGTCACTTCATCTCCTCTCCCCCATTTCCAGCCATCTTTTCCAACAGGCCATCCTCCAGAGCGGATCGCCGCTTTCATGGTGGGCAGTCGAAAGTGCCCAATCAGCTGTTAACAAGGTTTGCTTTCCAATCGTTGATTGGCTGGATGCTAGAACCAATGAATAAAGTTAATTAATTTAAAGACTGAATTTATATTAACCTAACGCTGAGTACAAATTTTATTTACTACATATCTACTCAACAGCTTGATTACTTAATTTGCATTCTGCTTTGCTAATGACTTCTAGCCAAAATAAAGGGATCTTCGTAAACTCTGCTTGGTCATTTTATCAAGCAGCATTAATTTTGACCGCCTCACGACCCATTATTAATTACAGCTTTTAATGGGAATATTTTGCTACAATGGATGTATTTTTTATTACTTTTTATTTTAATTTGATGGAGACTGCAGATGATTGGGTGTGTTTTTTAATGTGAATATAGAGAAGGGATGTTTTTGCAAAAGAAAATGAATTTGTATGCAAAACAAGGACCCGTTTTTTTGCCAGCGACGTCTAGTGCATGAATGATAGCTCTCCCTTCTTCCTTCGTCACGAGATCCTAAAAAAACAGTCGTTCATAATCACGCCCTTCATTTTTTGGTTTTTGACGGACTGATTGCAATTTCCCAATCCTTTTGTTTACTCTAGCTGAACACAAAATGCAACTAAAATCTGATACAAACATAAATTACAAGCAAAGTAAAATGTACGGTTGGTATCAGCTTTACTTACATTCGTCTTCAGATGGGAACAAAGTACTCCCTGAATGCTTAAATCTTACAAGGTTAACCTCTGAGTTTGAAGCGTTATTCGAAGTCAAACGTTTTTTGCTATTTAGTTGCTACTCCTTCCTTTCACGTAGTTGCTGAGACCAACTGAGGCCGACGCACCAACTATTCCGAAAGTACTTCATAAGAGCATTACTAATCGACGTTTCAAGAACTCTAATGGTTCGAGTCCCTACCATAGGGCGGTGTGCATGTGGAGTCGAAAGTTGGGGGCTTTCACTTGCCTCCTCCCCACAAAAGTTGCTCAGCACTTTAAGGGCGCGTGTGTACGAAAGATCTAAATCATTAAAAGTTTAGCTTTCCTGTTCAAGCGTTCAAATAACGTGCCTAAAGCTGAAATGAAATTAACGTCCACATGGTAAACAGAGCATTACTATGCCAGTGCTCTGACGATTTTCTACCTACCAATCATAATTGGACCCGTTACTTATCTCATTTAAGTACGTATTTTCTTTTAGGCCCGACAGTTTGCACAACTTAGTGGTTGCCATGGCAACGACGATGAAGTCGAGGCCTGTTTACGATCCGTTGAGGCTGGAACCCTAGTTGTAAATCAATGGAAAATGCATCTTCTCCCCGAGATGCCTTCGACAACTCGGGAGCATCGAATAGCGCGTCTCTATAGTCGCCGATACAACCCAGAGGTGAGTCAAGTGTAATTAACAATAAAGAAGTAATGGTCAAATTGAGGTAACAAGAACTTTTCCTTTCCTGCCAGATTCTGGGAACAGCCGGATTGTTTTTCAACATTACATTTAGACCCGTTGTACAGGAGCCATTTTTGCCAAGATGGCCATACCAAATTATAGGTTCGAATCGTGAAGCCCTGCACCATCGAATTCTCCTTGGCGTCAATAAAGATGAAGGTAAGTGCTATCTAGTTTGATTGACGGAAGCGTAGCTCTTTTATGCTGCCCAAAGGTTACACCGTGAGGTCGGTCGTAGGTTTTGACCCGCCACAGCCTTCTCTTATGGCTGGGTTCGGATGGTTAGGTGAGCACCATATGGTCGCCATTCTAGCATCCAGACGTTGAATAGGTACAAATGGATAAAATTTGCTCTCTTAAAAACATGATTCAGCTTCACCTTCAATTCGTTGCGGTCTCTCTTACCATTTACCAATTTGGAATATAGCGATTGTCGTACAGTTTGCCGTAAAATACATAAAAAAGGAAGTAGAATGTTAGGCTCTCAATTTTAGGCACATATGAAATAATTTACGGGCTTCGAAAGTACTTTCTTTCGGATGGAAATACACCAAAGTTGCCTAAAGTGTTCGCATCCGACCACGCTGGAATGGACCCGTTGGACATCCTGGCCTTTTACATCATTGATGAGGATTTCCTGCACCCACTGCTGCTCCAAGCCACCGCATTCGAGTACCAGGTAAAAGCACTACGCTCATCTTACTAAACTACTCACACCTTCCATTCGTTTATACTTTTCTAATATCGCTTATGCGACGAAAATAATTCATTCTGCTTGAGCTAAATGATAGTCGCGCGACTAAAATTGTAGCTATGAGTCAACACTTTAAACAATTTACCAGATTTTTTAAATAGAGCATTTTTGAAATATTTGGAACTAGACCATCAATAACAGTAAGAATGAAGTAGCTCTGGCATCAATTCCGAACAACTAATTAACATATTCTATGCCAATTTATGCTAACTATAAGTCGTTGTCCTTCTAATAATGGTGCACCTACGTGAGGACATAAAGTTACCTACTTATAATTTATAAGTAGAATTTTTTGACTTAAGATACCAAGCCGAGCATTCTTTTGGAAGGAATGGACACCACTGCAAGTGCAGCATGCACTGGCTGAAGTAGCTGGCGATTACAACATCAAGTGCCCACTTATTGAATTCGCTGATGCCTATTCGCAAGCTCCCAACAGTCAGGTGAGCTTGGCCTTAAAAATATAAGGTCTATGTGGTTGTTATTTACAATCTTCATTAGATAATGATCAAAAATTTCCAAAAAAAGCCATATTATCATTAATTATTTTTCCTTCCTAGGTCTTTCTCTACTCCTTCGAGCATCGATCCAGCGGCTGGACATGGCCCAATTGGACTGGTGTGATGCAGGCATACGAGGCTGAGTATATTTTCGGTGCACCCCTTAACTTGAAGTTCCAGATGGACTTCTACAAATTTTCTGACGAGGAGCGAAAGCTGAGTGCCAGTATAATGCAGTACTGGGCAAATTTTGCTGCCACTGGGTGCGTTGATAACAAGCACGATTATGTCTGCTAAGTCTGAGTAGTGCAGTACAAAAACTGACGGTGAAAGCTGCTAAAGTTCGTAACACATATGCACAGATTAAGTTGGTCTTAATTTGTACCAACTCTCTGACATTAAAAAGTGTACACTCCTGTCACATTGGAGGGCTAAATGATGGTGGATATGCTTTGAGACTAGAGCATACAAAATACCACCGTAGGTTGGCTTGTCCTGCAAAAAGTTTCTGACTGTGAGTATGGATGAAACATTAAAGATAACTCTATGCTAGGGCTGGCTAGTTCATTTTCAGCTTATGTCTTAAGTCTTTTTTTATCCTAAGATCGCCGAGTCTGCATCCAGATGAATTTCACACTCGAACTAAACGCTTCCACTGGAACAACTACGAAATTCATCGAACCACCTTCAAGGGTGACCTTGAACTGGATGGCTCAAGGGAGTACCTCGTGCTTGATTTACCCAATCCCCACATCGCACGCAATTTAAAACGTCATCGATGTCTTTTCTGGCGAGAACAGCTGCCTATGTTAAGGCAACGGCTTGTTCCAAGTATGGTCCTACTTAATGTGCATAAGTAGTTATTTCAAATTATGCAAATTTTTCAGCTTACGGCATTTTGGAGGCCATTCTCACCTATTTGTGCGCTGATTTATACCTAGTTTTAAATAGACTTTATATACTTGCGGTTTTTTCTCACTTCTCTTCCTCTCCTATTAAACTAATAGTTAGGGGTAATTAGCTAGGCTCCAGGAGCTGTCCATTGAAACCAAACCTTCTATTTTGGTTAAAAAAGGATGTAATATTGGCAGCTCCAACAGACTTTTTTGTTAAGCAGCAGATAGACATAAAGATAAAGGAAAGTGACCGTTTTGCCAAACGATAGAAGCTTTACTACCCAAAACTCAGCTGCATTTTGGTGAATGGTATTAGTTTGAGCTCCTACCTTTGTGTTTGAAGCGTTAAGTATCAATTGGAATTTGTGCCATCGAGCAGAAGCTTGATTTTAATTTCATTCGCATTCACTACCGCCCTTCTCTGCCAACGTAGCTAGTGTTGTTCGACGTGGCTTGGATAGAAGCATTTTTTCAACGCACCATTATGTCGTTACAAGCGCAAGTAAAATGACATGCTGAACTTAACCATCAGTGACCGTTAGTTTGCTGATTTATCTGCCTTGAATTATTTTTCCATTTTTGCAGATTCACGTTGTCAAGTCAATCGGGCAAAAGAGGCTGAGCTAAAGCAGGTTGAAAAGCCAGCTTCGCAGCCATTGCAAGCTCCACGACCCACGGAATGGGAGGTTGGTGCATTCCTAGGCATAACCTCCGCGGCCACAGCAACTACAAGTGCAATCACGCTGCTTGCTCTTGCATGCAATATACCACCTACTTATTTGTTTTTCAGTAGCAGCTTTTAAGGAGTTCCCCTCTGTCGCAAAAAATGGATGTGAAAATCGGTTGTGAGATCTCGTGATTCCTATTACTTGATGTTTGGATACTTAAAACAGCAAGTTTTTTCTCCTCTTATTGAATTTTATTATCTTCACTTAAAAGTTATTTGTGTAAAAGATTTGGAAGCCATTTTTCTTTTCCCCTTGTCCTTCCACCCTCAATCAAGTAGCAATCGTAAGACCTGCGTGTTGTGAAAGGCTTTGTCCTTATTGACTACGGTTGTGATTTATTGCGATTTCTATGTTGGCCTGAATAGACTGAATTTTGTTTCAAATGTGATTTTGTTTTTTTTTTTTTACTGGAAGAAAGGAGCGGATTGTTGTGTCTAATAAGGCGATCGGATATGCAAAGTGCCAGCAGGACGATTTTGTGGTGGCTACAGTCTTTAAGTCATGCTACTCATATTCACTCATTTTATAGGCGCGAGGGTTACAGACAACTCCTCTTGGGAGTTTCAACACCAAAACACGTATAGAAGTCATTTAGAGGCGGAAGATTGACCGGCTGGGTTCCCCGAGCTTCACCTGATATGCGTTTGTTTGCCTCACTACGTCCAGCTAATGTGCTGCCGTCTCTGCTGCCACGAGGCAGTCTATGAAATGTTTATTCAACCGTCCGATCGAGTTTATGTTTGCAAATTTAAAAAATTTCCCTTTTCAATACCTCAATCTGTCGCTTTGCCTGCCTCACTGCCTTAACATAGGGTTGCCAGCTGCCCGTAGACTCCGATGCCTCCAACATAAAGCTCATCTTCCCGATTGCCTTGCCTTCCTGAGCAGAATTTTTCTGCTATCAACAAAGCTGCCATTTTGCATGATTAATCAAGCAAAGCATTATAAAAAACCCTAAAACGCCATAAAATATTAGAATTAAATGCCGCTCTCTGCGTGGATAACAAAAGTGCTTGGCCACTTCTGATTGGCTGTTTGGCCGAAATCCGCCGGTCGCATTAATCTTTCCCTCAGACGTCATTACTTATGTGGATGCCTTTGGGCGTCCCATATCCACGTCGTTCAGTCGGCTGTAATGGGCGGCGGACAGCTGGTGTTTGTGTTAGCAAAAAATAGCCTTTCAGGAGTGCGCGTGTTGCATAATCTGTCGCTCCATCTTATTTGATGCCTCTTTTCCTTTCCTTTTCTCTCATTTTATCTTCTGATTTTATTTTTGCATGTAAAATGGGTAGTCAGTAAAAAGGATTGAGAGATTGTGCAAAATTGGATAGATGATGAGAAATTGGGTTAATGGACAGACAGACGGAAGGCGTGGAGGCCAGCAAAGTGGACATGCGCTGCCCTTTTGGCTTGGATTCGTGCTGTAACCGCCTCGAGTCACTCCGTAGCAGGCGCCAAGGTTTGTAAAAGTCACCCGATAAGCAAAAAAAACGTTTCTGATTATCTTGGTCTGATGATTTAAACTCCACTTAGGTTGTTATTTTTAAGTTTTACTTTGGGGCAGCTTAGGCAGACCTTCTGTCAAAAAGTGTCAAAGAAGAGGTCACTTTTTGCTCCTTTTACTAAATGACACGCCCATAAGAGATAATCACGATAGTTGACCATCTTTTGGACAGTAAGTTTTTTATGTGAGGCAAAAAGGTGGTCCTGAGTCCCCACCGGTGGACAACAAGGCAATTGCAGTCGTCATAACACAACAGGCGCCTAATTGGAAGCCATAAGTCCTGTTTTTACATTCCTTTTCTACCCAAAGGACGCCAGTACGGACACTTTAGCCTCAGCAAATGGGCCTGTCATAGCATTAGCTTTTATTGACAATTCATTTCGTTCCACTTCTGTTCTCTGTGTACTTTAAATCCCATCAAGTGGCACTCCTTCCATGCACATCCTAAAGTCGAAAAGGAAGTTGTGCTTGACTTTTATCGCCCTTGTTTACTAAACCCACCTTCAGCATGGCGACTGAAGCTTCAATAAAATGTGGCCCCCAGATTTTACCCTTTTGGGTTTTGGCAGCCGAAAGCCTCGTGTCTGCATGCGATTAGACGATTCTACAGAGCCGAGTGGGTACCTGTCTCGTGACATTGTCTCAGAAAAATGCCGTCTGCAGAGCTTTTTGAGCTGATTAAAGGACCAAGTGTATGAGGCAGCCCATCTGCTATCCAAGTTATTTCCTTTGGTATACAATTATGATAGTCATGCTAATAACCGGTCGTCAAAGGGTCCGTCTACTTATAAAAAAAAGTAGTATAACACAGGTGGTCCATTATGAAACATTGCAAATTATTGGGACAAAAAACCCGTTTTTTTGCAAATTCCTCCATACTTTTTCTAAAACGTTTTTAAATTAACCACTATTTTTTTTCACAAACAACTTAAATTTTAGCATCAATATAAACACTCGGCATGCGATTGTTCCAAATTAGGAGCCAAAAGTTGCCTTATAAGTTCTGGACTTTAGTGGAAATCACAAAATTGCTAATGTATATGCGAAATTCGACACAAAATTTCTGGGCCTGCTTTAGAGATAGCGAACAAGGGAGCTCCACCGCAAAACGCAGTTTCTGTGCTCACTGCCACTTTCCTAAAGTGAGAGGCAGCATTCTACTTACCAACGCGGAGGGTGGGTTTAGGGTCACAAACGGGCTGAAGAGCGGAAGCACAACTCTCGAATGTCATAGTGCAAGAAGAAATGGAAATAAGAAACTGAAAACAAATGATCCCTCATGTTCTACCTCTTATGTAAGGATAAAAAAACAGTTTGTGACGCTTCAAAAAGTAGGAAAATAATGCCATATGGGAAAGATAGTAGCAGCTAAAAAAGGGTCCTTGGGGACGTTGATAGGGGCAACTGCAGTGAATAATTAAGGCTTTACTTCAGAGCCTTCTCTCAAGACGGTACAGAGGAGATGATAAAACCACTTTTATTGGAGTGGGAGAAGAAACATAGACAAGCAATGGCTGCAGCAATTTCCGACACCTACATTTATCGCTTGCCCCGGTTTCCTTCCCCATCTGCCCCGTCAGCCATCCCTCTCAGATCGGTAAATTCGTCGTCTACGTAATCACAGCACCGTATATTTGTGGGTGCTGAGAAAAAGAAGGTGAATATTTCTAAGGGATTGATAGAACAGCATTAAGAGGCTTGTAGACAGATGTGTCTCACTAAGACAACAACAGCAAAACAAACAACAGCAAAACCTCGACTTCAAAAGGAGATGCAGAAAGGGGACTTTGATCACCAATACTTCTTCCTTCCCTTCATTCCTAATTCAGCTTTGCAGCCTACAACCTCACTCTTCTCTAGCCTGAGAAAGTAGTCCCCTTTGTCACCTAACCTATGCGCATACCGTGTAAGTGAGTTTATCCTCAGACTGCCAGTCATCGTGTAAGGTAAATGAGAACATTCACCTGTGTGTGATACAATCACACAGCGGATGATGATTATGCAAATATCTCAGGAAGACAGTAACACGCTCTCTCTCTCTCTCTCCATCTTGCGTCTTAAAGCGTACGAGTGGTGGAGGAAGAGCTGTATTGACTTGTCATGTGACTCAGTCATTTACCACCTTTGGCCTGACTGGTTGGACGTCCATTTTCATTACTATGGCAATCCGTGGTGATCAGACAGATACAGAATTAAAGGCCTTGTACCTCAAAAGATTGTTGACTTTTATGATGCGCTGCACAGCCACTAAAAATGGCACGAATTCTCACTAAAAATTTGTCAGTCGATCTGTTAGCCAGCAAAATAATGCAGGTGCCATGAGGTATAGGCTAAACAGAAAATCAAGTACATGGTATTCATCCATTCACCTATAAATTCACTTTCTTGGCTAATACGCCGTAGAGGCAATTTTAAATTTTGCACCCTTCAGAATCTTCAATTAGTGTATTGTTATGAGGTCTTCACGAAGTCCTAATTGCTCTGTTATCTGACCGACTTTTACTTCCAGGCGTAGAATTAGGTGTCAAATCGCTAACACGACATCCATTTCGTTGCTCTGAAATTGAGGTTAAGTTCAAGGATGAAGATGTCGTATTTTTAGACAAATTATTGCAGCCATCCATACCCGACTTATAGCTGGCCGGCGTTCCAATTATTGTTTAGAAAACAACTTATAGAAACAGATTTGCTAAGTAGTTGAAACTGATACGAAGTTTCAGCTTCAACCTCCTACATACAACAATATTTTTGATGAAAACAATTTAGTAACAGTTACTACAAACCCAAGACAGTTGCAATTCATGCCTCCAAATGGAAAGTCCAACGACACAAGTAGACATTTCCCTTTCTGAGTATCATATCGTTGATGGACTCAATAACCGAATGGTTTAAATACCAAGCTGCTTTGACAAATGGAAAAAATTCCCATTTGTTCTTTTCAAATTGGTGAAATAAATAAAAAAAATGCAATTGAATTAGACTCCTCAACGGAGCCAAATCAAACTCTGCGCACGCCTACAAATCAAAGGTCATTGTATTGTCATTTAACTCCAAATATCAACATCACACAACAAAACAAACAGGCAAATTATAAATGGAGCTTTTGATAAACTTATTAAAAATTATAAAAGGAAACGTTTGTTTATTTTATTATAAATGCTAGCTTTTGTCGTCAACATTAATTTTACAACTTTTTAACGCCTTAGTTCTCTCGCATTTTTTTGTACTTGGTGTTAGGGCCCACAAACTGGACAGTCAAAGAAATTAATTGTACAAATGGCAAGTGAGCGTATTCCTTTTACAAAAGGTGTTCCATGAGGTACGCATCTCCTACCGCAAGGCAGCAGCACAGCCCTCCACTTTAGCTTGTTAGCTGACATAACCTGTGCAATCAATTTCACGCCCCGCACACGCGGAGACACAGTTGTTCCCATTGGTCAGCCTTCCTTTCCCACTGGTGACCAATCAGTGTGAGCCTCCGACTGTGCAGGCCACTCGAGTGGGAGGTAGGCAGGTATGCATCCAAAGCGGGCACAAAACCCAGACGCCAGGGTGTATTTCGTCGTTAACACAGAAAGGAGGAGAAGAAATAGCAGCCTAGGAGACGTCGCGTAAAATTTCCTTTCTCCTCCATCACTGTCATTATTATTGCCATTGCAATGTTCCCCAACACGCGACGCGCTTCGCTGCCTAGCAACCCAGCTGCAGAAGCCGCGACCCGCCGGGAATGTCGAACTTTCGAACCCCAGCAATGGCGTCGATCGGTGTGCAAAAATTGCTTTCGATCTGAGCCTGAACACGCCGCTGTTACGACCGTTGTTCCTCCACCTGCTGTCTCTATGGCGACGGCTTCAGTGCCCACTTTGGAATCAACACCAGTGGCAGTTAATGCCTGGCCGGCGACACCTGCATTAAGTCGGAAATCTACGCCAGTTGGGGCAATGGATGCGTCGCAGATGAGGGTGAGTGGACAACCTCAGACGTCGGGGAGAAGAAATGGACAGAATGCACAGAGGTGAGCAAATGTTATGCTGTTTAAGAAACGTTACCATCCAAATTATTTGCTATCGCCTTTGTCTTAATATTGACATCTTCCCATTGTGATGTCTGGCTATTAATATGCGACTAGATTAAATAACTTGTTGCTTGCTAAGCAGTAGACTGTTCGTGGATAAGGAGAGTTGTGCCCTGAGGATGAATGTAAGCATGGCAACCGAGGAGACTAGGTTTTACTTGCTGTGTTAATTCCGGTGATGCACATGTGTAATGCAAATTCTTCATCGTTTTGCCATGATTGGCTTCACCAAACCATAGTGACAGCAAAATGGTTAAATCTGGCGCGATAAAACAAACGCTACGTTTATGATCTGAGAGCAACCACATGCGTGCATAAAACACGCGTTTATAGACTGTGGTTGTCAGATTTCCCTCCCACCTTCCCCCTTCCCCGCCTTGCCCCGCCGTCTTCTGACAAGGTGTAGGTGGAACCGTTTCGGTCCCTCTGCTTGCATCGTAAACAGGGAACTAATCAGTCGGCGAATCTGATTAATTTCCTCGGAAAGGCGTCGAATCGAATTTCCGGACCGTGGGCGGGAGGGAAGTCCAATTGCCTAGCACGAATGCGTGGATGACCTTCAACATCTCCTCCTTGTCCACACACGGACATGGCAATAAAATCTATTTTTCCTCTAAGGCAAAGTCCTTGCTATTTGAACAGAAGAAAGTGGATAAGCGTGGAATACTGTCAACTACTGTACAGGATGGGAGGCAAAAAGAAGTGCCCTCTCCTCTTCACACAGAACGGCCTTACAACAATCTCAGTCCAGTTGAGATCGTCATGATGAGGCTTGATGACCAACGAGCCATAGCAGAAAACTTTTTACTGTCATATTATGCAGGAGAGTTGTCTCTGTGACAAGAAACGAGTGAAGTTCCATTGTCCATCGCAAAGCATTGCATCACAGCAGACCGACGAGCTGATTTAAAACTCACAGCTGCCAAATTTTTTCCCAATTAAAGAACAAAAAAGAAACAAAATATCTCTTTAGTGCATTAAAAAGTGAAAATGTAATTTCGGATTTGGGTTTTGGTTCAACCAAAATTGATTGGGGTGGAAGAGGTGGGTCTTTTTTGGGTGAAGAGCCTCCTCACCTGAAAACACGAAATCCTGACCCGGGAAGGCGCCTCGATCCTCTCCCTTCGGGTTCAAATGAGCGCGGTTACCTTCAGAGTACGTAAAGCACTCTAAAACGCATACATTTTCGTTATAAAAAAGTGATAATTGTTGATCATTGTCTCCATCATTGGACAGTAACTGTTTGTTCAATTTTGTTCCTCCCAAAGATTAAGTCATTTAAAACAAAGAAGAAAAGGAAAGTCGTTTCTCCTCTAGTGTAAACAATAACCTCAATTTTGCGTTTCAAAATTATCCTCTGGTACAAGTGTAAATGCATTTACCTCGAAGGTGACTTTTTTTGGCATTCCAAGAGAACTTGACTTTAAACACTTTGTGTAACCATTTTCGAGTTAATAAGTGACAAGCGAAAGGGAACAAGAGGTGGTTCCGTTTGACAAGCTAGCGAGTTAGAGGACTTCACGTCCAGAAGGCACTAGAGGCACCTCGGCCGCGCTAGTTGTACTTTTGTCTTGCATGACATGTTTATGCGTAAGGAGGCAGCGAAGTTGCGCACAGCATCCTGTCAGGTAAAGTAGGGTGGGTGGCTGCATCTGCGTTAGCGCCTCGTGCCTTCCCTTGCAGTGAATTAAGAGAGAATGTGCCACTTCTTGGAGTAGAGACGGACCAGTATGTGTCCACATGCACTTATAAACATGTCGTAGAAAAAGGGCACGACAAGCAAAGACATAAGTGCTTGCATTAGCTAAATAGAGCTAAACAAACATTAAAATAATTACTGACGTTGGTTGCCTACTTAAGTAGAAAAAGTAGTATCACCGAGTAGTCATGAACTTTTAAGGCTTCTACGGCTAGGTAGAGTGAGAAGTGGTGGAAGGATTTAAAGACGAAGCCGTTGTCTTCAACAGCCGATTTTCTTGTGTGGCTAAGTTCATTTGCAAGCAAACGACCATTTCCCATTAAAGCATTCTATTATGTTTGAGTTGTAACAAATTTCTTCATACAAAAAAAGTTTACCAAAGTGGCATTTCGAACCCTTCCAATATTAATGCCTTTTTTAAGCTCACCGGGTGTCAAAGTGGTCCCATGGTAAACCATGAGGTCACTCTCTGGGATTGAAGGCAGGTTACTTAAAATTCCACCACTATCTTGCAAAAAATTTGGCAAATAACCGTATTCATCAAGTGAATCAATGGACAGGATCTTTAATTCGAGTTGTTTTTGCAACTTAGATCGGCAGAAGACCTGCACAGAGGACCACCCACGGGTCACAGGGGCACCCCGGCCCCCATTCAGGCGCCACCACCGCAGGTGATGGGACCAGAGCGTGGAGCCCAAGTGGGCGCTGGTGGAGTCTTCTCGTCCGCCTCGAGTATAGATGCCAGATATGTGGAGGAGTTGGAAAATGACTTCTTCGATCTGGAGGATAAATACGATGCCTTGGCACGAGAACGCAATGACCTCTCATTAGAGCTGGAGGCCAAAGTTAGGAGTGTGGAGGAGCTGCAGGCTTCACTGGAACAATACAAAGAGAAGGTTAACACACTGGAAAGAAGGTGTACACACTTAGAGGAAGAAATCAAGGGTTATAGGTAATTGGATTGGTCATTTGATTATTTTTGGAAGGAAGCCAAACAGCTCTTTAGCATGCTGTGTCATTCCTCTCTAGGGAAAGGCTACGATTACCTGAAAGTGACCAAGGTGGAGTAGCAGGTGGTGCAACCGACATAAAAGCCAGTTTGAGTGCTGCGCTAGAGGGTGGAGAATGCAATGACGATTTGAAGTCGCGACTGAACCAAGTTGAACAATTGTGCCAAGATGTGATGGAGGAGAACGAGGCGCTAAAGGAGGAAATCGAGGAGATGCAAAGGGAGATCGAGGAAATGCATGATCACTTTCAGGTTGATTGAAACCTAAAATCAATTTTAAGTAGCAATGGTAATGCTTTTATGAGCATATATTGAAAATTTGTGTTCCCTGTATTATGATTGGCAGGAAGAGGACCGAGACAGCATGCGTGAGATGCAGCGTGACCTTGAAGCAGCCAATAAAACGTGCAGGATCCTTCAATTCAAGCTACGCAAAGCGGAGCGTCGTTTCGAACAGGTAGAGGCGGAGAGAGCCAGTTTGGAAGAACGTCTTTCACGGCTGGAGTCGCAACTCTACAACGAGACTGATATTGGTCACATACGGACACTGGAGGTAAAGTTGAATAAACTGATTTTATCAATTAAAGTGTACGGTAAATTAGAGCTATTAACAGAGGCTGAAAGTTGGATAAATTTTGCCACGAGAAAGTGTATGTTAGCGGAGTGTCCATTTTGCATTGAGAGTGACATAGGTTACTAATGGGCATTTGCATTGGGCATTGGGTGCGTCGAACTACATAGACTGCATACCAAACCAAAGATGGAGTTCATGAGAATGTTTTACCCTTTGCCGATCACTTGACTTCAAATCAGGACTGGATGTATGGAATGCTGAAATGAGGAGTAATTTGTTTCGTCAAACCGAAAAAATAAGCTGATATCAATCATCGTAATTGTCGAATTTTTCATGTGCGATCACGTGTTTCTGTAGTTAACCATGATGGTAGACAATGACTGACTTGATCCTTGACAGAGACAAAAATTAGTTAGTAAAACGAAGTTAGGTGGCTTAGCAGGCTGCAATTGCCTATTGGTTTCCGTGCCTTCCTTCCCTCTACATTTGTAAGTCTGCTTTATCATGTCTCTCTGTACTGTTCTGCGTTGGATTAAGGCCCATAAAATCATACCAATCAAGGATATGTCCGAATCGCGAGTCACGTTCTGTTCGACATTTATCCCTTTTAACATGAAAACGTCTTCAATGGTTTTAAGGAAGAATTGCGCGTTGCAAAGGAGGTGACAGTTCGTCTTAACAATGAATTGGACATTATGGAAGAGAAACGCCAGTTCTATGAGGACGAAAACCACCAGTTAAAGAATGAATTACAAATGTGTCAGAATCGACGCATTACTTCTGAGAATGAGGTTGATCGACTACGCTTGGAGGTAAGTAAGACGACTTGAAAAATTCGTCGTTGTGACCTCAAGCTTAAATGGGGAGAAACACAGGTATTAAAGTGCAAAAATCCCTTAAAGATTGTCACGATAATGGGGGGGTTAAGATTCCCACACTGGTCAAGAGAAAGCAGGAGGCTTAGATCATCTCTTAAAAACGCACAAACTCGAAACGCTGAGCTAAGACGCCCAGGACTTAGATCGAAAACAAATAGCAGATGGCTTGATTCTGTGCCAAGCCACTTCAAGAATGCGAAGTTACTTTGTCTTGAAAGGCTAATATTGTTGTTGCACTGTAAGAATGTATCATGCAGTTTTGTCTGAAATAAAAGGCGTACGGGCTAATATTGTTAAGCAGAGATGTGGAGTGCTTCATAGCCAGTCGGTTGCCCTTGCATACAATTCCACGGTTCGCCAATAATAAGGTCTAGACGACAGTGCACAGCCGAATTAACAGAAATGCTAACTAACTTCACGATTTGCATGTTGATAACGTTTTCACTTTCTAAGCACTAAACCGATTCACTGATGTGGTAGTTAAATCATTAGGGTTCTCGAACGCTAAAGCATAAAACCTGACACAGTTAAAAAAATCCGGTCGAAAACCGACTGAAATTTTGACAGATACTAATGTGCAGCTTAAGAAACTGATTATAGAGACACGTCAGCATTTGTACTCATAGTGTAAATGAATGTTTAGGTAATAGCTGAGTACACGAGCATACGCCACAGGATTTATACCAACTTTAAGAACTGCATTGTACAAATCATTTCTTCAGAATATTGTGTTTTAAAAATTTTCGCACACGCACAGAACCAATTCGCTTCGGTGCGAAAAAATTAAGTGAAGTAGAGCAGTGCAGAAAAGAATTACCTGTCATTTCTGAACGCATGGCGCAAGTGGCGTTGGCAGTGACAGAGAGAAGGGCAGTGTCAGGTAGACCAAAGAGTTCGGTACATAAATAGAGCAATGATTGGTATTAACACGTCCTTCCATACCTTTAAAATAAAACTATTTAGATCAATATCAAGAACTCTTAGGATGGTGGTGATGAAGCAAATCCCGAACGCAAAGCATGGGAATAGAGATTGAGGTCGGGAGACCATGGTTTATATTTGGCAACAGTGGAAGCACAGCAAACTGCCGAATTTATAAGTGAATCTTTTTGAATGATTTTAACTTTATGGCAATCAATTCTTTACGTTGAGCTAAAATTTCGTAAACTTATCATACAGGAAACGAGCATGCAAACAATGCGCTAACACTAATTGCTTAGAAAGGTATTTTCTTAAGTCGCGAAACCTCAAGAGTGAATGTTGGCATGTTTATAGGGTATAAAATGAATACGTTGAACTGAACTTGTTTAAGCGCATCGGAGCCAAAGGACCAACTATAAACGTCTAGTTTTTCTGGTGATGTTGTTTTTTTGGCAAACTTGTCTCTGCATACGGTTAATCGGAGGTGGCATTTCTGGCACTTTAGAGAACTGCTTGTGACATTGGCTAGCGTGCTGATGTAATATTTTCTATTGTTTTATGTCCTGTTTTTATTTAGCTTGATAAGCTGAAATATGAGAGTCGATTCGCTGAACGTGGTCCCCTGCAAATCACTGACAAAAAAGCGGTAAGTTTTACCTTGATCCAAAAATAACCTGAAATCTTGGGATTAAGCGGACGTTGTATGTCTTGTTTTTAGGGGCGCCAATCAACGACTACCGCTGCCTCTTCTAGCACTGCATTCTCTACCGAGCAAACTGAGCTCATTCGTGCCCTCCAAACAACCAAGGAACGTGAGGCTGACCTCTCTGAACAGCTACGATTTGCGGAGGAGGAGCTTCGGAAAATGAATCGCAGAATGGCGGAGGCACAAGCAGACAATAATTCTCTGACGAGACAGCTCGAGCGCCTTAGTATGCAGCAGGTGAGCGAATCCCGGCCCAAACTTTCCATAGTGACTTGCAGCAGTATAAATATCAATTGCTCAAGTTCTGGCACTAACTTTTTAGCCACCTCTAAAGGTGGTGCGAGGTTTTCGATATCCTTCTTTTAGTTTTTACAATTGCTGTAGAAGTGGTGGATATGTAATTTATTTCTGCTATTTGTCACCTAAATGAACGAATCGAATTGATGTCTTCTCTTTCGGTTACTACCTCGCATTTCTTTTTCGGGTTGATGTCGCAAGTGCGATTTTTCATTTTACTGCTGAGGCTCCTCCTGTCTGTGGGCTTCTCAATAAAGCCTTCCACATGAAAATGGATGAATGAACGTGACCATTTATTTACGCTCACCTTTTCGCAGTGAGTATGCTTCGACGTGATTGTAGTTGCGTAAAATTTGTCCAAATGGTATTTCTGCGACACCTGTGGAAATGCATCCCGGACTGCACGAGGAATAGTTGCACATTCATTCTCCCCTCCATTTCATGCGCGTTCTCTGTATTTTGCTGCTTGGATTAGAGTTTATCCTGTGTTTATCCTCGTGTTTGGTAATATTTTGTGTTAGCGAGAAAATAATTTAACTTTTTTGGCTTCTAGGTACGCGGTGAGAGCCCAAGGGCAACGGCATCTCAGGTTAAAAAGGAAATGGCTGCAACGCAGCAGGAAGGTACGTTTTGATCCCCTCACTTTCTTTCCTAACCAAAGGATTTTGTAGTTATTTTTTCCCTTTTTCAGTTAAGCGCGCGGAAATTGATGAGAACGTTGAAAAGTCAAAGACCGTACAGGAGGAGTTGGAAATGCTCAAGGAAACCAATAAGGTGTCGACTAGACGAATGAATCAATTAGCGAACGAGTTTCTCACTCTCAAGGCCAACTATCGCGAAGTTGATTGGTTAGCCAAATACAATGACGCCGTGGAGTCTCAGAAGGACGCTGAGAATCAGGTATTTGAAATTGAAACTCATGATGAAATAATGCTGCTATCAAAACACAACTATATTCCTTTCTTCCAGATTAATACGCTGAAGCGTAAGCTTGCAGATGCGAGTGGTGATTTGCCTAGTTCCGTGGTGGCTCGAATTGAATCAAGACGACCTTCCTTGAAATCGTCGGATTCTAGAGCTGCCATGTCCAAGGAATGGCTATTGCAAAAGCTGGATAACTATGATAAAGAGATGGGTGAGGTGGCTGCCTCCTGCTTAGTTAGATCTTTTTAGTTAGTTACTGATTGCAGGAGCTAATTTTACCGTTAATTTAGCCGATCTGGAGACTGAGATGTCGGTTCTGCGAAACACAGCAAACAGCATGAAACTGCAGTCACAGAGGATGGCTGAAGAGCTTTCCGAATTCAAGACAGAAGCTGACCAACGGGAACGAGAATTTAGGGAGCATATTGAGCATTTGGAGAAGAAGGACTTCGTCATTAGTAGCCTCCTGGAACTTATGGTTCAAAGGACCAGTCTTCTCCAGGAACAGCTTGAAAGGTTAATAATGATTAGAGGCATTTGATATTTGCACCAACCACAAGTAAGTAGTTCGTCTCACCTGTAGGTCTAAATCAGCTGAGTCCGAAAAGACATCCAACGGAGCTGAGGATGAGCTGAAGAATCTTCAACAGCTGTTAGAAAAGGAGCGCGAGAAGACACAAATTTTAGAGACTCAGCTGAAGTCTGGTGCCTCAAGCATTCCTCGTCCGATGTTGAGTGAAAACGAACGAGCAAGGCTGAAGGAGATTGAGGTTTTGAAGAGTCAGGTATGCTGCATCGAGCAATTTTGCTTCTTGGTTAAATTTAACCGCTGTTGTTGGATGAAACTGGGCGAATATTGCTTTTGAGAACAACGAGGAATGATACGTAGGTCTAAATATCTTGTGCCATTATGGGGTCTGAGAGGTTCAGGATGGTCCAAAGGGAGTTGGGCGAATTGTACGAAGTAGAGTCATTGCAGTTGAACTTTTGTAGCTTCTTTGACTTTTTAAGATGTTTTGTCCGCGACAAACTTGTGCCTGTTATTTTTGCCGGTTGTGATCTCCTTTGCTGAAGACATCACGTAGTGCTTTATCTTTTACCATGAATCGTACAGTTGGAGGAGAGGGAGGAGCAGATAGAGGATAACGAAAGTCAAATTCGTGAATTGCGGGGTCGCCTGGAAAGAGCCAAAAAGATGAACGAGGCAATGAAGACGCTGATTGACAAGGACTCTACAGAAACGTCTCGAACGTCCTCCAACACCGCGCTGAGTGGTGGCGCTTCAGCTTCAGCTCCAATGGAGGCCAAACAGACGGCTCTGGAGATATCGAGCTATAGACGCGAGATTGACTCAATGCGGAAAGAAATAGCGATCGTAAGTTTGGTGCATTTCAGTATTTGAGCCAAAAAGATGGAATGAGTTGTCACAAGACAAATTTGACCAGGCTTTTTCATTTTCCCCACTGCAGTATGAATGTCGTTACCTTGCCGTAGACACAGTTGTGATAATTGTGTGTCTGTGCCAAAATCACAGGTGTGTCCAGTCTGAGATAAAATTCCCTTTTATGTAGGGCTTTTACTGCTTCTGGTTATCCACCTCTCCTTTCTCGTTGACAGCTTCAACAGAAAGTGGTGCAGATCGAAAAGATTCGAGAGAAGCTGCTGCTTGAGAACAAAGATCTCCAAGAGGAGTTAAAGCTTCGGGAAGATTCTCTCTTTGATCAGGACGATGAATTGGAGAAAAGAAATGCCGATCTAGCAAAAGCAAAACGCGCGCTTGAATTGATGCAAGTAGAAGTGAGCAAATGGTTGATCCATCAAGGTTACTTATGTTATTGGTTGTCTCAGCTAACCAATGGGTTATCTCCAGCTCAATGAGGCTCGCAAAGGATTGGCTGCTGCGAGAGCACAGGAGGGAATGAGCATGAAAATAAGCTCTACATTGGCAGAAAACGAGAAACTGAAATCGGAGCTTAGGCGCTTGGAGGATGAATTACGAGGTGAGATTGAGTGAAAGTTAATTTCCTTAATTGATTTAAAATGTTTTTAAGTGAGGAACGCTATATTGAAACTGCTACAACTCCGTTAGAAGAGTCCATGTCACTTCTCTAAGATGATGGGGATAGTTGACTTTCTTGTATGTTTTGTCATTTGGATTCTTCTGATAGTGTCTCTCTGATGATCAGCAGTTGTGTCAGGTTGTCAAAATCAGTATTAGTCTATGCAACAATATTTTTTGCCACTTTGGAAGACGAAATTACTGGGACACATTCCACAGTGTTTTTGGTTTGGCGGTTGTGGTTTCATGGGTTTGGGTACGCACACTGCTTCCTCCCTGATGCGAAGTTACAGGCTGGTAAGGGCTTCAGAATGGATGTCATTACTAATGAACAGCGCGTGTGGGGGACTGTGGACCTCAAGGTGAAAGTGTGCGCTCTCAGAATTTAAGGTACTAGTTGCCTTGACTTATCGGCGGGGGACACTACTTTTTGACCTGCAAATTAGCATTGATGTGCGTAAGGAACTGGCCAAATGGGGACAGGAAAGGGAAGGAACAGTGGGAAGGGGCGTGATGGTGGGTAGATCTTTCTAAAATGTTCTCAAGTTTACGTTTCCTTACGTTGCCTTGAGGGCTGTTTTGAAGAAATAGAAAGCGCCTTAACTTTATTGCCAGCAATAGTGATCTGGTTTGCAGGGAACGTAGGACTTGCCAAAAATTGTCACCAATTTTTTTTTGAATTCTCCATCTACATCTTACGGTTCCCACGACTAACCGTTCGAAATACTCGCACTCTCCATTAGCCTAGGCTTTGGCGACTCAGGTCATCATCGTTGTCTACTGTAACGTTCTTCTTTGGAGATAAAGGGCTTGGAATGTGCAGGGGTTTACGGGCACGACCAGACAATCTGTCATGAAAATCCACTTTTTATGTGATTTTTTTCGATCATACCCTTTTCAACCTGACCAAAATTTTCTCATTTCTTTTCAGTCTCTAACTCAAATCTAGAAAAGGCTCAAGCAGCTGAATTAGAGGCCTCTGAGAAGTGCAAACAACTAGCACAGGAGGTAAAGAATAAAGAGGGTCTTGTTCGCGAGAAAGATGACCTTCTAAGTGAGGTGAAGAAGGACTCACAGAGGCTCGACGAAGAATTGAATGCAGCACGTCAGGCTAGCACAGAAGCACAAGTCAAGGTTAAGAAACTTGAGGCCACCATAGCAGAACTGCAGAAGAAGTGGGTTTTTAAATTTTGGAATATTTACTCAGTGAGTGTTTCGTCCAAAATTAAATATTTATTCATTGCTGGCAGGCTCCAACAGAGGGAGAGTGTGGGTGGTTGGAGAGCCGATTCTTCTCCTGACAGTGGGATTGGCCGCGATGGGAGTCGGGATAGCAGACGCATGGAAGTGGATCGTCTTCGTCGCGAATGTACTGCTCTACGTCAAGAGAGAGACGAAATCGCCAAAGAGGCACGTCGGGATAGACAGCTGTTTGAAAAACGCCTTCAGGAGGCCTGCAATCGCTTGGTAATAATCACACAAATTAAAAAACTACCCACAAATTATGAATTGAAGATGAATCTAGACTTTTTATAGAATTCTCCAGTGGACACACCTGTTGGTATGGTCGTTGGCTCCGGCGTTAGTGGCGATCTCTATTCTCGCGCTGTTGCTGAGACGCAAATCAGCAAAAAGCTTACTTTGTTTAATGAACTTGTTGCTAAACAAAGCAGCATAATTTCTCAGCTGAAAATTAAGAATGAAATAATTCAGAACAAGATGCTGGAATATCAACGGAAGTTTGCCAATCTTAAGGAGCAGTACGAAGCAGAACAGGAAGCCTGGCTATCGGAACGCGTTGTCCTCGAGTCTAAAGCAAAGGAGGTTAGTTGGTTTCTTCTTCGGTGCTGCTTTGGACCGCACGGTTGAGTGTGGGCTTTTGGTATTTGTAGCAGGAGGAGAGGAAGAGTACAATAGCAAGCACAAGGAAATCTTTGCAGGAGACCAGCATTCGACTGGCAGAGGCGGAAATAAACTTCGAGAAGGAAAAACAGAAGTTTGAGCAAGAAATAGCCAAACTGGAGTCGGAAAAGTCCGATATTAAGGTGAAGTCAGGGGGATGTTAATCTTTTAGACGATTGTAGTTGTAAAATTTTCTTACTCTTGATTTGCAATTTATATTACCTCAAAGTTGCTACTTATTATTTGTAAGTAGAGTTATTGGCGTAAGACTAGCCTTCACTTTTGGTTTAGGTGCAATTGGCTCAACTGAAAGAGCAACAGAAACTGCCAAAAGTATTACAACGCTTTAGCGCCTCACCTGCTCGCACTGGTCACATTAGTATGATTAATGCTGGCACTCCCTCTAACGCCGCCAGCACCGAAACCACGCGACGTCTCGACTCGGCCGAGAGGACCATAGCTCGTCTAAGGTCCGAGCTTCAGCACCGGCTTGAAGCTCAATCCCAAGCCACCATTGCTGCAATTCATGAGGCAGAGGCTGCTAGGGTAGCCGCTGAATGTCAAATGGAATGCTTGAATGAGCAGTTGTTACAGGTTGGTATCAAGCGTTATTGTGCATCTATCGCTATTCCTTTGATGGATGATACTTTGGCTTCTGGACTTTCAATGAGTTGCTACCGATGTAATATAGTTTCGGAAGGCTAAGAGTACACGCAGGAGTTTTCGACTATCATCTTCTCTGTAGTTGAATCTGTATCGCGAGCAAGCTGAGTTGTTCAGAGAGAGACTAATTGATGCTGAACAGGGAGCAGACCGGGAATACAAAATTTGGACGGAGGAGAGGGAAGATTTGCTCTGCCGAATCGAGGATTCTCGAATTTCGATCGAACAGTGGTGTATTCGTCTAGCCAACAGGGTAAGCTCTTTCTCTGCGCGGCCCTTCAATTGCTTTTAACGCTTATGCTCGAATACTTTTCTCCTTTGTTTAGGAGGGAATGGAAGGCATGAAGTCAGAGGAGATTATCAACGACATTGTCGCTGAAATGGAGCGCTGGCGCACCTGTCGCCAACACATACCCGTATTCCGACGGTGAGGTTTCCTCTGTAAAATGCTTCTTGTGATATTTTAAGTAGATGTTGTTTTTACAACGTATTGTTGGCTGTTTACAGGACATGTTCCCTTGACGATCAATGTCAACGGTAGGTTTGGTAGTAGAACAGGTCTATTAACCTGCACACGCCTACTAATTATTCACTTATCGGTAAACTACACTTTGCGCCTTATTGATGGTTTGTATTTTCTGATTTAAATTTTTTCTAGGAGTAGTTCCGCAGGTCCTGCAATGCTCGGGTAGGTGCTATCTCTCTACACCCCGTTGCGTTGCAAAAGGCGCTTAGGCAAATTTGAGTAGTGCATATGTTCGCGCTTAGTTGCTTTCGAGGTCGCTAACCGGCCTCAGTTCATCCGCTTTGTGCTTATGAGCTGGCAGCCTTACTACTAAAATGATTTCAGCAAATCGCGCTTAGTTTTTAAAACAAGGAAACATCATCTAAGGCTGACTTGCTTCGCGCTGATATTTTCCTCAGGCACTTCCTAAGTTTTTTGCTTTAAATGTCTTAAAATCTTCTCCTTGGTCGCCACTTGATGCTTTAATTATCAGAAGTTATGGCTCCAATTCTAGCTTACTATTTCGCCCTTTCTCATTTCTAAACATTCCCACCTAATTTTTACTTCTAACGGTCTTTTATTTGTTTATGCTCCAGGAATCGTCTCATTGCCACATCTATGCATGCGTTCACTTGTGCATGGTTTAAATCTTTTAATTTCGTTTAAAACCGACTAATGAAGGTCAGGGCAATATTGTAATCATTGATTGATGAGTAAAGGCAAAGGTTGTTTTGGGAAGAACTATGACAACTCACCCATGGGGTTGTGACTCTCCTTCATTTTTAAACCTCGTCCTTGATGCGCTCTGTGATTACGTCTTTAAAACGGTCCACTCCCCATGTGATATTTCTTGCGTACTTTGACGGGGTTCACGCCCTGTGTACAGTAATTTGTGGCCCCATGTGAACAAGGCAAAGATGTTTGGTATTCCAATGTCTTTAGGTTGAGATATTGAATTACGACTGTTTTTTGTTTTTTGGGTATTTTATCATGCTTCTTATTTCCTACCTTTCCTTCTTTGCGATTTTTTTGGACGTACCAACCCGGTTTACTTAAACATTTAAGTAGCGAAGTCAGACCACCATTGGCATTAATGCAATAGATTATTTGGAGGATAATTGATGCGAGCTTCATCCCGCCTATCTGGTGACACTCCACACACGTGACCAACCATCGCAGATACATGATGCATTGAAATTAATGTATCCTCAAAATCACTAACATTGATTTTGGAGATCTCATCGTTCGCTGATACTCGCTGTCGTGTTAGCACGTGGCAAAGGTATCCAGCGCACCGTTAACTTACCACTGTGAAGAGTGGTAGATGATTAAAAGGTAATTCTCGACCAATTTCGCTCATGTAAGGGAGTAGGATGTTCGTCCATCAAACGCTGTAATTATAGTGAAAAGGCTAGCGCCTCCTCTCGCAGGTGTCATATTGGTTTCTAGCCTACAGCCCTCATCAGCTAGTTATATGACGCTTGCTCTCTATTGCCTCGTAGAGATGTAGAGTATTAGTGTGAGGTATGAGCGCTTTGCTCGCCGCCAAACTTTTAAATGTCAAGGTCTTTAAGTCGATTAACCAAGCTTCGGTGTATGTCAGCGACCCAATATTAATTGAAATTTAAACGGCATTCTCTTAATTTCAAGGTCACACACATCCGATACACAGTCAATGATGGGTGATAGCATGATAAGTACTCCCGCTACCCAGCCCAAGACTCCGCTCTCCGCGGGAAATCGGTCCACCTCAGTGGAGTGGTTCCACAAGTCTTCCAACGGATTCAGGGGTAGTACAGTGAGCTTGGCTGCTGGAATAAGCCCTTCGTTGGCCAGAAGTGTTACTCCCTCATTGGTTCGATGCGGTCGCTCTGTTTCACCCGATGTCAGCATTCGGAAGGTATGTGGGCTGCTACTGAAATTGCATTTAAGTAGCTTACTTTATGATATTTGTGTGGTTAATATGAAGGAACCGATATTATGGGTATTCTTGACACCTAATAGTGCTACTCATTCTGAGGCATAATTTGATTCAGCCACACATGTCATCTTCCACAAAGTACGTATTTGTTTCATCGCACTCAATTGTGACCCGGTTGGCAAACGCATTACGCGCCGAGTGGGTTATTCATAAGCTACTCTCTGTAGTTCCATTTTCTTTCATTTTATCAGATTACAAATTATCCGGATCCAACACCAGGCTTTCTTGTCCGCTCTCGCCAATCTTCTGTTGACAACCTTGGAAGTGTTGGCGATCTCACTCAGAGGCCTTTTACTTCCCCTGGTAGCTATTACTACTAACTGGCATTGAATCACTTTCAAATTGACTAACTAGAGTTACCGATGCGCCATTTTTGGGGCCTTCTAGGTAAACCGCCCCTACGCCAACCGATTTCACCTGCTCGACGAAAATTTTTTGAAGACAGTGTGCCCTCAGAAAAAGACAATCTGATCCCAAAAACTGAATCATTCACTTTCCCTCTATCATCCTCTGTCTCCTCCAATGTAATAATCAAACATCCTGCTGAACTTCGACATTCTTCAATTACCACCACGACTGCCAACAACACCAACACCACTACTATCGCTCCAACCGTCGTTGCAAGTGTCGAACCCTCAAAGGAAAAGGCTCCCTCTTCTCCGAAGCCTTCTTCCACACCCTCTGTTCTTTCTCGAATCTCCTCCAAGCTGGCTGGTTCAAAAACCGACATTTCTCGACGCAAATCACCCCCAAAGGAAAAGCGGCATTCACCTCCCAAAACACCACCATTGACAGCTTCATCTTCCAGGTCTCCAAAACCGAAGAAGAAGTCGCCAGTTCGAACTTCTCCAACGCCAGAGACACCTACGCCGTCACCAGCATCAACATCGAAAGCAGTGCCCACTGCGCCCAAACGACGAGGCTCAGAGATGATTCAGTCTATTGCCTCAAAACTTCATTCAGCGGCGGAATCATCGGCAAAACCTTCCTCTTCCTCCCTATCGTCAGCTTTCTTGAAAAGCGGCCGATCAGGTAGCCTTACCTCCACGTCGATATCTCCTTCGTTTATGGCGTTAAGGCAGAAGTTTGGGGGCAAATAATCAAACTGTTTCTTTGTTTCCTTCCTTTTTTAATTAAAGATTTTCCCAGATCTGACTTTCGTCGAATTGCATTTCGAGGCGGAAACAGTCCGCGTTTTGTTCTTTCCGCATCTTTCAAGGCGTTTGTTTGTTTGATTCCTTTCCTATTGTCTTCTTTCCGGGTGAGGAAAGCGCAGAACATGTTCTCCTTCACCTGGCGTTTGTTTGACTTGATCCGACCTCCCCTCCTCCTCCTCCTCTTCCCTCAAGGTGCATTTTTAAAGAGAAAAATGTTTGGTATTTCTTCTCCTTGCTCCCCGACAATATGCCGATATATAGCACTTTTTCCGCCAACCTCACCAATATTGTGAGGTCTGGTTTTTCCTACCTTACCTCAGGGGTGTGTAATGTTCCTCTGCTATCCGTATGGGAGCCTGTGGGTACGGTCGAATGAGAGCTCTTTCCAAATTGAGGAAATCAGTGATCCCCTTGCTTTTTCCCATTCCCAAGTTGGAATTTATCTACCATCTTCCATGTTTGCACTAGGCGGCTTGTAGATTTTGGTGATATCCCAAACACTCATTCATCAGGGAAGGGATTCTCTTCACATCCTCCCTCTCCAGTGCTCTAAAACGGCTCCAATTTTATGCTCACCCAAATTTCCTCTTTGATTTGTCAATGTTATGCCGAAACAGACTTTGAGTGTGTAGTTGATCCCCGTGACGTCAAATCGGATAAATTTAACCATCATTTGTCACATAGGCGCATGCCGTAGACCCGGCAAGCTAAGGCGACCCCATTGTGAGGTCGCTGTGCTCTGGATTCATCGAATTTAGAACTTGACAGAACTTCTATGGGTGCACGAGACCTGAGGAATATAGCAGTTCTTTGCAAGAAATTGTCAGCACCAAATGTTGGGTGATGAATTACTCGTGAGAAGTTTTGATATTTTGTGTGGGCAAGTACTGCTATGCTTTCTTCCTCTTCACTCACCTCAGAATCCTTCTCTACCTTCAAGCCTTAGTGTTATTCTTGTAGTCTGAGTTGTTTAACCGTAAGTGGAACAGCAGGCAGTGCTTTTAAATCCGAAATGTATTAAGACGTTAAGGTTTTTGGCTCGTACCTCATTCTTAAGGCCGTATGGATTGCGATGTTGGTGTTTCCAAGGCGTGAAACAGAAGCCGTAAAAATGTCGCTTCACTGTAGCTTACTTACATAAATGGGACTTAGAAAAAAAGGATCTCACAAACAATAACTGAAATTAGAAGGTTAATAGAGCTCGACCTTGGAATAAACGTTATAAGATGGGCTACATGGGTCAGGAACGGAACTTGTATGTAAAACATTGCTAGATTTGTCAAAATCTGTTCAGCGCTTGGGGGAGTCAATGTCTCACAACCCACTTCAAATCCTCAAAGCGGGCGCTTAAACATGTGACGATTTACATAGGATGGAATATCTGCCATTCTTTCATTTATTTCCCCCAATAATGTCAACGGAACTCGTATTTCGCATCTCATTCTTAGTTTGTCGGTTAGAGGGCAACCAATCGAGGATTAGTCTCTATGGTTCAGCAAAATGACACCGGTAATATGGCTTTATTCACAGAATCCTAACTACTACAAGTCACTCGAGAGAAAACAAGAGCATAGAACGAATCCCATATCAAAGGATCAAACCAGTAGACACGCAAAAATAGGGGAGGGAGAGGTTCTACTTCTTCTCATCGTTCAATTTCAACGCCAAAACCAACTTGGGTTTCTTCAACATCATTAAACATGGCCGAGACGGCTGTATTAACTCCCTCAACAATTTGACTTTTTAAGGAGATGGAGATGCGCTGGAGACTGTCCAATTTTATTTTGAGAATGTGCTTTCGGTCTGGATCGGTTGCTATTTGACAGGCTATAGCCCAGTTGTAATCAGGAACGTCACGATTCCACGTAGTCTTGAAAAGACATGGGACGAAAACAGGTGAATAGGCGATTCTCAATCCAGTGCGAATAACGGACGCCTATGCAGTAATGATTACGCGAGGGAAACGATTTGATGGATGAACGGACAAATGGGCTAGTAAAGGTGGGCGACTTCGAGACGGATAAATTGGTAGGTTGTACGAGAAAAAAGTTGAAGCATTAGCAAACGAAAGAACTGGTACATTGTAGGAGGACGAATAAGAAGGGAACGAAGAGATTACTGCTAGATAAGTGTTTGTAGGAATGGATCGCTCAGACATAGGTAGGAAGATCCACGGCAAAGGAGCGAAATTGATACGAGCATGGGTAGCTCTGAAACCACCCTGTAGAATCGATACAATATCTGATGAATGACAAAGGGATATGATGGACAGACGAATAAAGATTACCGGGTTGACAAGGCAGAGGATGCGCAACATTTGAACAGAGAGGTCCACAAAAAGGAAAAGGAGAGTGAAATTGGACTTAAACGCGTGACAGATGTAAATGTGAATAAAAAGACAAACCAGGTGACAAAGCGAAAAAATGTATATGTTAATTGTGTTAAAATATTGTGCATTTATGAAAAAAGAAACACGTAAAATACAACTCACTTCAGCAGCGTATTCGAGCCGATCAGTGAGGCGTTGATAGATCCCAGCTGTAAAAGTGTGAGCCCAATTCGTAATGATCGCATGGAAGCCAAAATCCTTGACAGAGTAAGCGAACGCGAAATCAACACGTCTCAGTTCCTTCCGAAAGGTGTCATAGTGTAGATCAGCACCAACCAAGTAGTCTTGGTACCTGAGAGGCCACGCATTGACAAACAGCACTTATTGATTTTCAATAAACAATGTTTAATAATATGCTAATAACGTACCCAATAACCAGTGATTGCAATGCATCTGGCAGAGGATGGCGAAATTGAAAATCCACTTGCTTGTTAATGAAATCGTTCTTGTACGTCGATTTAAGGGAAATGCGATTTACTCTAAATTGCAAAGAACATCATAAGTAGTAGAAACAAACCCAGATTCCACATCATATTCGGTTTTTAGGGTGTTACAAAGGCCATTCATGAGTTGACCATCAACAGATACATCCGCGGACATAAAACCCTTCGAAGACCACTTCTCATTGAGTATCAGACCATACTCATTTAGGTTATACTTTGACTCAAATGTCCCTAACATCTGTTATTTCAATGGTGGAGTTGAGATTAGAATTATACCTTTCCGACCCGAAAAGCGTTGTCAACCCGACCGAGGAATTCAAGTTTGTCATTCTTGCCCTTGAAGGAGAAGAATCGAACTCCAAGATCAAAGTTTTTTCGGAGGAGATCACGAGCAGACTTGCCAATGTCAGCAAATGTGGGAGGAGTCATCACTTCGCACCACTAGGGAGATTCACTAACAACGGATGCAAAGTAACCTTGAGAACAGAGTGTGGTAATAATGTTTAATATCCTAATTCGACATCTGAGTCATATTTGGCGTCAAATTTCATAAAAATAGTGGGAAATAATTTTTGCCGCACGAATGAGCTCTGTTTATTGGATAACGTGACAATTATCTAAAAGTTTATCTTGTATATTTTCGAGGTTGTTTTATTAAATGTGATATAGTGGCTGTAGCATTTCGAGATTTCGCACCGGGTGGAAGCAGACAGTAAGTGAAGCTAGATGCCTGTATTCCAAGGAGAACAAAGCGGCTAAATCTGATCATGGATCCAACGCCAGCCCACAAAAACAAGAATTAGACAAATCTCAAAGTGAACACCAAACTTCAGGCGATCACATAAACAAAGCATTACAGTGCAGTTAATCTGAGGCCTCATTTTATTTTGCACACCAGATTCCTGAATTTTGCCTTAGTATTATGACTTAGTTCTACTTTAAGTGGGTTTGAGCACACTACATACTCAGGAAACTCTCGAGACTTCCCACAAGGTAGAAGAAGTCAGTAATGGAACTGAATACGTGTATTCCAAGGTGAGTAAAGGGACTAAGCCTGAGCTTGATTCAATGCCTAGCTCACGCGCAGACGGGCTAGGTGAATCTCAGAGCACCCGCCGCATGTCAGGAGGTCACATGAACAAAGTACTGCATTTGAAACCTTGCTTGGTTAAAGAACAACTCTGTCCTGCAAATCAGTCATTATGCACAAAACTTAAATAAAATAAAGTGAAATTTTATGGTTTGAAGCGCTGGCGCTGTAGCGCCCTGAGCCCCCATTGTCGGCATGTATGTAAGTGCAGCTGAATACATGTACTATAAATAAAACAGGACAAATGGGCCTGAGCATGGTTCAAAGGCTAGCCCACGTGTTCAGGGGCCAGACAAACTCTAAAGTGACCGCCAAGCGTCCGGCAGTCATATAAACGCATACTTAAGCATGCATCAACAGACCTGCAGTCGCAAAATCTTTCAAAAATCTAAGACGCGGAAATGCTATATTGACGAACAAAATGATTTGATACCTTTCATAAGTATATTTTTGCTTGCACGGCTTTACAGGTTTATGAATTTGAACATCTGGAAGTAAGGATCAAGACACCTTGCTGTTAAAAAGGGCTCCTTTTTGCATTTCGGATTTATTCCATTACCCAATTACTTTAATGTCAAAAATATCAAGGATTGGCCTTTTTGATCATCATGATATTCTTTTCTTTCTTAGGAAACTCATAGTTTCTGCCCTGTGGTTCCAATTGCATGCGTATAGCATTCCAACTTCGCGCTATTTTCCACGAGCTGATCACTGGTGAAAGTATTGCGGAATAAGTCCTCCCGAAGGCAGAAGGGGTTATTAACTGCGTAGTGAGACACATATTGTTGACGTAGAGTATGTCAGCGCGGCCACTGGTATGCATTTAAGCCCAAGCTAGAGAGAGGTATTACAACCTGTTGTGATGCAGTTGTTCTCGCGGTCAATTTTCAAGTTAAACCATCCATTTAGGCGGTAAAGCACGTGGAAGTAAACCACCTTAACTCATCTTAAAGGCTTCCTAAATCGCACTCATTCAACGTGATGCATGTTAAATGCCAGACAGTGAACTAGAGGGATGATTCAGGGACATGCTGTACAGAAGCACCTTCTATGGAGCTGAGAATTTGTGAATGGTGGACCACACACGCATCAAAGCCAATGCGAATGGAATATTTTTAAAAGCGAATGTAACCTTAGCGAAGAAATCAAGGACAAGCAGAGCCAGGCTACTGCATCAGTGTTAAACGTCCCGAAATTCGAAATGTTTGTCCACATTTTGTTGAGTAAAACGGTGTTGGAACTGTCCGCTCACCGTGATTTACGCTGCAAAAGCACTTCTTGAGGACTATTTTAGTTTTAGCTAGTCAACTTTAAACAAAGCGACAAGACAGTACAATCTCAGTTCCCCAATTTGCCTTTATGCCCTTACTAACCGCTTGCTTCGCTGACGGGTGAACGTGAGGCCATCAGTAGATCCAACTAAGCCATAAAAGAACAAATGTAGGGTCCATGCGGAGGCCACTGGAGCAAATTTCTCAGCCTCGGACGAACTAAGTGTTCGGGATGTAGCAAAAGACGTGGGAAGATTGCACTAACTTCTCACTCCTCCCCCTATACATTTGGCAACGAGAAGCCCTCCGCCTTCTCCTCCCTCAGTAAGCAAGTAACATCACATTTGTCTTTGAAATCAGAGGATTTCTTGTGCACACGAGGAATGAAGTTCTCTGCTGCGTGAATTTGCGTTCATCGCAAATGGGCTGCAGTAGGAGGGTTGGAGACAAGTCAACAGAGAAGGACCTAATCTTTATCATAGAATAGGAAGGTGAAAGGCTCTTTGGACATTGCAGGGTCGAAATCCAGTCATTGCATACCTAATCAACAATTTTATCTCTCAAAATCAGAAAAGGCAGCGGCGATAAGGAAGATCAGGTGCTTTGTAGCGTTCCCCTTGAGGAAGCAGAGCTAGGAGGCTCGAGGCAAAGTTTGAAGGTGAAACAAGGCCAACCTCCATTGATGTGCCCATACCAATCTCTCCCATAACCACTACAACAGTTCTTCCTTCCCATGGCAATTTCATCTTACAAATTTATTTTTGCGCTTAGCAGCCAAGTTGCCCGACCGGTCAACTATGAATGAAGCCAATCGGAGGCAAAAGAAGTCAAAGGCTAAAAGTAACTCCAGTAATTTAAAGTCAACTGCAGTATTATATCGCAAAAACATGCATATGTGCTCAGTTGAAAAAAAAAAGAAAATTCAGAGGCTACTCGCACTCAAATGGAGAAACACCAACTTGACCTGCCTAAGTGCAGTCGGGGGAGGGAAACTGTCTCTCAATCCGTCCGTCAACAGACAGCATTTAGTGCGTCACCACGTCATCCACTCACACTCATCTCACTCCACACACCATTCAGACGCTCCTCAAGTCTGCAGAAAACTCTCAAATCCGCACACAACCCTTACCTCACCTCACCTACCCTCCTCTCACCTACTCTCCCTCACCTACCCTCCTCTCACCCACCCTCATCTAGCCTAACCTCCTCTCCCATCCCATCCCATCCCCTCACCCCACCTCACCTCACCACCCAACGTCGGTGGCGATGCAGGCTGCTGCAATCAAGTCGACACAAGGAAAAACGATACCGTCCTATCACACTCCACTACTGTCCTTCCCCACCACATCACCACCTTTACGTGGCACCCGACAACCACACTGTCAGCACGCAGGTAAGTAGATAATGAGGCAATAAAAGGCGGAGAGGAAGCACGTTCGGTTGCAACGCGATGACGAGGCAGACAGTGTGGAAACGAGGCAGACAGTGGGCAGTCGCTTTCCTACCGCCACTTCATTTGCCTCCCTTCGATGTCACCGAATGTGGGAGATGTGAGCCACGCCACACTGAAAACACTCCACACCAACTCAGAAGGGGAAGGCGTCGCTGCGACACCTGTCCACCCTCCTCCTCCTTCCCAAGTCCTCCCTACTACTCTCGTGCATAACTTGCAGTCGTGATCTGATGCAAGAGGGAAAGAGGGGAAGAGAGAGGGACGGAGGGAGGGAGGGAGGGAGGGAGAAAGGGAGGGAGGGAGGAGGGAGGGATCTGTGAAGGGGTGGTGGAGGCGGATGAAGTGGAGTTGGAAGGGTGAAAGGAGGGTGATGGAGGCGAGGAGGACTAGATGAAGGGCTCGGTGGCAGCACGAGTGTGCAGTTGTACCGAGGCGTAAGCAGACAAGCGGAATGACCTAACGGAAGGGCACATGCTCCATCACTTGCATGCTCCAACCAATGGCGGGGACTGCGGAATGATGACCTCCTCCTTTCCTCTCTTCTGCCTCCCCCATAGAGCCATGACACCTACACCAAGTCAACTCACCCACATCCACACCCACACCAACACCAACACCGACAGCACCACCGATCACGCATCATCCCACCGTCGACTCCCACTTGACAGTCAACAGATGAGTACCTCCCCTCTCCAGATGGAAGTGTGAGGAAGGCAGGACGATAAGCCACGTGGGAGCAAAAGTGGATGTGAGTTGACGCATTGGATGAGAGGATGTGACAACAAGTAGTGTAGCTATCGCTAGTGGTACGCACGTCAGACCTTCCACCTCCAATCCTCCTCCTCCTCCTCCTCCACCTCCCCCTTCTTCATCAGCCTCACTTCCATCGACCCACATTTCCCTCACCAAACACTCACACCACAAACTGCCATCGAAGACGTGGAAGTAGGTAACGCCATTGCATTCATCCACCGGCACTGATGACCTCGATGCCGCAACGATAGCCACCATCGTGTCTGGTTGTGTGCTCGTATGTGTGCAGGTGTGCGTGTCACTCGGTGGGGCATGTTCCTGTGCTGCGAGCAAAGCTGTGAGGTGGACTGAGTGCGAGGCGAATAAAGTGGCAAGCATTCACTCCCTCGATACTCACAAGCTGCACAATCACCTCGTTTGGATTTTGTCTACACACGATCATCTGTCATCTGTCTGTCCGTCTATGCGTGCGTCGATTCGTCTTCATGCCTTCACACCCTTCCTTCTTCTTGCCTGCCTGTATGCCTCCTGCCCGTCCACACCCACTGCCATCCATCCATCCATACCTCAACCACACATCACATTCGCATCGCCAACGGTGAAGGTGAGGGTGAATGAGGAGGTCACTATGTCGAGATGATCTGATATGATAGGCGCAGTTTAGGGAGGCTGTGGGTCACGACTGCACTTCTACGATTTCGTTCGGTAAGGTCACAATGTGTAGGGAGGCTGACAAACTGCATTCGACACAAATGGCAGAATGAAGCAGATGTGGTCACCCCCAGACGAAGGAGGAAGGGACGAAGGAGGAGGAGGAGGAGGAGGAGGCGCAACCTGTTGCACCGACGAACTCATTTCATCTACCTCACTTTTATGCACTTCGTCTCCTCCTCCTCCTCCTCCTCCTTCACCACCAACATCACCCCCACCACCTTACCTATGACAGCCACCTCCGCCACGTTATCTGCTGCACAGAGCTGAATAACTGCCTCGACCACTGCTTGAAGGCGGCTCTCCTCTGTCACCGCATCAATCACCAGACTGTCGGGCTGCCACCCTTAAGCAAATGGTACTGCAAGGCATGCGATGAAGTACTTTTACACAACACCTCCTCCCCTTACACTACTCCAACACGCCTCAGCACAGCCACCCATGCCACCCACACCTCACCTCCTCCTTGCCACAAGCCAAACTCGACTTGCACACACGGCAAGGGAGAGCCGTTGCTCGCACATTCACGGTGGCCACATGGCAGATCTGCCATCCACTCAGCTAGCATCGACGAGGCGACCACACACGTGCACACATCCACAATTGCATGACATTTGCATTGTCACTCGTCTTCGCCTTCGCCTTCGCCTTCACCCCACCAACGGTGCTCCGCGACCTCGCAAAGCCGATCCTCCCTCCGCTTTTCCTTACACCCTCTCTCCCTCCTTCCCTCCCTCCTACCTGCCGCATCTCTTTGCCACCCACTTCATTTCTTCCACCAACACCACCACCGCCAAGTGGTCACACGTTCACACACAACGTGGCCTCCTGTGCCAAACTAATTGCATGACAACTGTGACAAAGCACTTTGGGGAAAGACGAAAAGGCGACTGTGGTAGCAGCGAACCCCACGTCATTCGCCTTCCCAACAGCGTCCTCACCGACTCTTTGTTCCACTCCACCACACACACCACCATGTCAGTCAAATGTGCTCGCCGTAGCAACACTGCCTCCTTGAAGGCAGACACGAGGTAGCCTGCGATGTGCACCGTCCACTACCTTCACCCATCCCAACTGTGTAAGAGAGTGTGAGGAATGAGACACCACCACGAATGCTGCCGTCACCCACAGCCTCGTTGTGAGGGCCACCTGCAGTGCTATTGACGAATTGCACAGCACGCCCTTCCCCCCTCCCACCTCTCCCTCACCCCACGTCGCCCTCCGTCTCCATCTAATTCAATCAGCCGTAGGTGTCATTCAGCCTCCACTGAGCAGTGTGTGGTCCTCACTTCTCCCTCTCCATCTCCCTCTCCACCTGTATCGTCTTGGTCGCCACGACCACCATCACCCCGTCATCATCATCATCATCATCCGTGATGACACATGGAAGGCCAGTCTACTTCGTCACTGCATCCCATCTTCACTGCCCCTTATACTGCACTTACCACCTCATTCGTCGTCGTCTTTAACCTGTCTCATCTCTTCCTCCGTTCTCCTTCCGATTCCTTCCCTTTCACGAGCTGCTCCTCACCAATTCATTCATCCATGTCACCTTGAGGTCCAACATTTATGGCAATGTTGGCGCATGAGTAGCGAAGTCATCTCTTGACATGCCCACCATTCTACGGTTAAAATTGCGTGACACCGAGATTGCTGCGATCTTCAGTGCGGATCATTTGATGCTGAAAGCCTCAAACCTCCAAGCTTGAAACCTTAGAGTATCTGCTTGTTTTTGGGAGCATTTTCGTAATCGTTGGTTAGGCCATGCGGGTGAAATAATAAGACGCGATATTTTATTGATACCTCTGCGCTACTGATATAATTGGGCGTCTTGAGGTGGTGGATGCGGATTTTGTGCAGTCTGACATTTCTACTGTATTGTAGTTGACCGGCTTTAAGGTGTCCTTTCTTGTCACTGGCGTTCGCATTTTATTTTCACTTTGCACCTTTCCTTTGGTATTAACCGTAATTAGCTGAGTGTCCATCTTGGCCAAGGCGAAAAATAAAAAGAAAAGCGATAAAATTGGTGCCCTTAAGCACATCTGACTGAAGAACCGAACTAACAATAAAGCCCTTTTTTTCTTCCCCTTGACCTTATACTTGACCGCAGTTTTCTGCAGCCGACATTGAGCGGTAAAACACATGCAACAGGCGTGGCAAAAAAAAAGTACCCAAACACGAAACTTGGGAGAACCATTTTAAACCCGTATTTGAAAACATAGTCGTAAATCATTTCCAGTATACCTCAAGAAATGTATTTTTTGTTTACACATCATTCTATTCACTAATGTTCCCTCCAATACCGTCCTAAACATCCCTCTTATAAACGTAGCAAAGGTATTTCTCCTCTCCCCTTTTTTCTGCTTCCCTCACCCTCCTATATCGGATAAGGAGGGATGATTTGAACTGCCCCCCTCGTCTCATGACAGTGCAGACACCGCGTACAACTATTGGCACTGGACTGGTACAGCAATGTTGACTGGCCAACTGACTCAACCCATTAAAAGTGCGTGCATGTGATCTCATCCCTAAGCCTGTCAGATTATGCATTTATTGCAGCATTTAAATCGCATAACATTTGGTCTCAATGGCACTACTGCATAAATAATGCATATTGAACTCGTCCTTCCAAAGGGAGAATAAGTCAGATTTGTGAATCACTGCCTGAGCTTTCAATGCAGATCTGATGTTTACTTGAGGAGAGAAAAGCATGAAAGAGGTGGAGAGAGGCAAAGCCGTAAATTTCCATAGCAGCGACTTATTATAGAGGTTAAAGATCTCGAACGGGACCACTCGAACTACCCCGATAGTGGGAAGAAGGATTTACTGTGAATAAAAAAGTGGGAGTTCAAGCAGGGCGGAAGTAGTTGTAATGGAGAGGGAACTTCTCTCGCTCCCATGGGAAGTTAAAAAGAGGAAGCAAGCCGCATTCCCACTAGCGGTCATCCTAAAACCTCTCAGGAAATTAGCCTCTAATTAACAGGCAGAAGTGGAGCCTGGCAATGGAAAAAAACTTCAGTTTCGGTCCAATTTAGTAAAGAAATCACATTTTTCGATTGCCCTTGCTGGGCTTAATTTAGGAGAGAATAAGAGAAGAATTTACCAGCGACAGCCCGTTTAAATCAAAAATGGTGCGCTTACTTTAGTGCAGACTATTAACAAATAATTCAAGGGTGTAAATACACTTTAAATTACCTAAAATTGGGAAAAAAATTATGATATGAGGTTTCTAAATAGCAATAAAAATCTTTAGTAAACTTTTCGAAAGTAACATTCAACACACTTATTTTATGAGGCTAATTACAATGATTTTTTTGTAATTCCAACTATCCTCGAGGCTCATTTTGGGTGTTCTCACCCACTTAGCGATGAGTAAGGATTATTAATAGTGTCGGCCCAAAGTGAGACGTTACGATTGCTCTACCTGTTTGTAAAGGTCATTTGTTCTATTAAGGGGAAAAGATTGATTAATGTGAAGTAATTTGCACTTGTTTGGGTGTGTTCATACCGAATTCGGAACTTGGTGATGGGGCGCACGGTGTTTTGTGGCTGTTGTTGCCTCCTCCTTGCTGAATGCCGATGCAGAGCCAAAATTGGAATGACAAGAATGCACAATGCTGCGCGGTTGAAGTAAAGACTTGTGCTGGAGATTCCAGTAGTCGAAAAATCCGCCTACACCAACATAGTTGAAATTAAAAAGCTTACGAGGTGGTCAAACATTCGCAATTTTCTGCTTAGAATGCATTAGCGTTTCGTTGCTTGCGGTAAAATCACCCACAGGGGAACAAGTTACCTCATGTCTTAATGGGCATGGAAAGGAGGAAAAGGTAGCTCCGATTGTCTAAACCACTTTACTGTGAATCTACAGCCCTATCTCCGCTTTGAGATGATTCGATTAAGGCGATGGAAAGAAGGCGTCGCTGCGCCTAGGGACTTTCGTAAAAGCATTGGCAGGAAATTAATTTTGGCTTGCGTCAGCAGATTTTGACATTCCTGTGTGCTTCTTACCTTTACTAGACGTCTGAGATTCGTCTTAAATTTTTGTAAGGAATGGAATGTTGTTTGATGGAAAAGGCGAATGAAACATTTCTACTATGTTGAAAATAGTGAGTGAACGAAACACTGGCCAGCAGCCTCAAAAGTCCCCACTTAGTGCCCAGACTAACATCAACACCTTTATGGGCAAAGGTGTTTGTGGGCGAATCAAGAAAGGAAGGCTGTATAATGGATGGATCTCAGTTCTGCGTTGCGTATCACCCAGACGAACTGTTGGCGGGGCCTTAATGTAGCACCTCCATCGTTTTTTATTACCGATTGGGTGCCACGTGGAAAATTTTAGTTCTTCCTTAAGACAGACCATTGGAAAGGGATTTCACGACAAGGTCAATGGCAACTGAAACAATATCTACCTCCTGTCTTAGAATATGATTAACAATTTTGCTCTTTTTCCTTCACTTTTTTCAAGGAAAGCAATAAAAGTAGTCAGTAGTTTGGTGTTCGCAGTAAATAAATGCGTTTTATCAGGGCATTTCTGGGAGGGGTGGGGGACATTTTTTCACCCAGAGTCGAGGTGGTCATTGCAAGTGGCGAAGCTTTTGGGGATTGATGAGGGTTTGTGCCATCGTGCTGCAAATCTTTGAAGGAGGACACACTCAGCCGGTCAATCAAAAGCACTCCTAGTGATGCACACATTTCACCTCCCTCGCCACAGACACCAGACACGATTTTGCCTTCTTTCTCCCCTCACATCTGAGCTTCTGCCTCACGTTTGACAGGTGATATATCTCATGGAGAATTTACCAGTCCTCAAGCACGTGGAGTCATTTAATGAAATACTTCACTTCGACTCTCCTCCGTAAGCAGCTGAGAATCGAGACTTTAGCGAATTTAAAACCTCCTCCCACCTTCTTAATCAGGCGAAGCGGTCACAGCATAAAGGAGGTGAGTACAGGAAGGCATTAAGGATTTGAGGTGTCCACTAGAAAGAATAAAGCAGTTGAAGAACAAATACCTAAAATTACTCTTCCTTACTGACTACTTTGTCGTAGGGAGGCATTACCACTTAACTCCCGATAAGGAGGCGATAAGGGCGTCATTCCTTGAAGTTTATTTCAGTCAGATAAAATGCTCTGCAGCGTCTTGCTACTGAAGCTGTTAAGTAGTATATTCGAAACCATTATCTGCTCCTGGGTGAGTAGAAGACTTAATTTACCATAGCATTATATAGGTCTTAATAAAGATAGAATTCTCCACCCTTCGAGATTTTATGCTTTTCGATTCCATAAGGGAAAAGCGTTGGGTCTTAGCTGACATCTCGCCCAGCGCTCCTTGGTGGTGCCACCACTTCGCTCCCTGCACTGCTAGGGGAAAATTTAAGATCCTTCTGAAGGGAGACAGTGGCCTTCTTTTAAAAATGAGGAAGAAGGGAAAAGAAGGTGCAACAACAGAAGAGTTTTCCTTGTCTTGACTATATAAGGAAGCACTTAGAGTTAGCTTATCCACGGCTGGTGAAGACCTCTCTAAGGGAAATGGAGTGTGCGACAGGATATGGCCTGAAGGTTTCAGTCCTTTACTTGGCCGTACACTGCATTTCGGGTGCATCTCGACTTCAGAGGTGTTGCTGCAACTGGCCAGATCTCGCGAATAATTAACAGCTGATAGGCAAAGGGCGTGCAAAAACATCGGCTTGGGTTTTACGGCCTCCTGCTGAGGTGATTTAGGGGAAGCATAAAATAATGGCCATTTCCTTTGTCCCTTCCTCTGTTCCCAAGTGTCACTACCTCATTGTGAGCCATTAATTATTAAATGACAAAAATCCGCTCCCCGCTGACGTTTGCGACGGTGGTAGCAATAATCTCACTACAGTTAGTAAAACACCGCATCAAAGCTTCTCGAAGTGGGCAAACTTATTTGACTGAACTCTGTCGACCGATAAATGATCATGAAAATGGCATAAAATTTTTAGTGCTAAAGGAAGTGCGACTTTGACGTCATCAAGTACGAGTCCTATCGCGGCATCGAGACGCCTCGCCAACTTGTGCGAGGGAGGGATTTGCAAACCAACCCGCATTCTCACAGCCCCCTTCTAAACCACACCGACTGTTCTAACAAAATATTCGGATGAGAAGATGAAAATGTCGTGGATGGATAAAAAGGGAGACAAATAAATGGAATGCAAAGGAAATGGGAGATGGCAGAAAACAATGAGTGGAGGGTCACAAATTGAGCAGATGGCAAGCAGAGGTCAAAGCCCTCTCCCTCCACTTCTACATCATTTCCAATCCACTGGTATTCTTGCACACGAGGCGTTCTCGGGATGAGTTATTGTCCAGACAGTGATTCATCGCTATACTCTGTCTACTATTTTTGTTTAAATCACATCTGGGTGGTCTGTTGTGTCACCAAAACACCTCAGCCCTCAGCCTACGTTATATTTCTTTCAAAGAAGAGGCGGTGAAAGAGGGACTGCTGCTGCAATTACGACCCTCCCTTAAATGCTTGTAAGTGGAGGCATCGCTATGTTGAAAACATTTCATCTACTTCACATCCACTCCCCAAATACCTAAAGGGAACATTACATGTCATTTAAATGCCTCCTAAATGGTAAAC